TGGCAAGTAACGTAACGGAGTGTTTAACTCTTCACCCCCTCCGAAAACATGACATATTTTATGAACGGCCCCTGATTCCATTGAATTAGTCCTCATAAAAAAATGCCATTAGGGAGGAGGGAGGCGGTGGTTGTATGGAACTTTGGCGCCTAACGACTCCCACGAGAGTGCGTGTTTTGGTGCCCTTTACGATGGGCTTGATTTAGCGACTTAATTCGGAATACATATCTCATAAAATCTTCAAATTATACAATTTTTGCAAAGTCAGAAATTCCAACACCCGATGTTTGCATGTGAAAGCGTCTGATGCCACAGTGCATTATCAAATACGGCGGCAGCGGGTGACCTACCGCGGGCTAATGGCTATTGGTAGCAGTTATTAGTGCAAATAGCGTAAACAAGCGATGCCAAAACAAGACGCAGAGCAATTAGCAGTGCTTAGCTTTGAACGACGGAACAAGTGCGCAAGATCACGTGGTCGCTTCGAGGTTTTTAACCCTTGCGCTGTTCGCTCAGCAGATTTTGTCATCGTAAACAATGCACGCCAACAAGGGACCGTTCATAAAATTTTGACCTCGTAGAGACCTCCCTCTTTACGATGCAGATTTAAAGCATCCCTACCAAATATGTTAGCGTTTCCCTTAACCTGCCCTCCCCATCGATGAGAGAATCACTGATAACCTCAGTTTTTCCTCTCTTTTTTCACATACATACACCAGAGTTATACACAGGATCCGCTTTTACAACGCTCTATGGCGCGCTGCAACGCCTAACCGCCATTGAGCCCTATCCTCCTGAAGGCCTTCTGGGAGCTGGCATTCCCCTATTTCTTGCTCAACCCTGTGACACCACCTTTTTACTGGGTGTCTCCTTCGTCTCCTCCTAGGAGGAACCCCAACACGCAATTTTTGGCAGCCAATCCCCCGTCATTCTCCTCACATGACCACTGACCATACCAGACCAGATGTTTGGTCATAAAGTAGAATACGGTGCCAATTTCAATTCCCTGATCTGACGTACACTGTCATTACAGACCCGAACTTTCCTATACAAATTCCTGCTGACTCCCTTAGAGACCCATCTCTGATGCTCTCAGCATATCCTAAGTCCGTTCCTCTAGCTGCCAAACTTCATATCCAGACGTTAGAACCATAATGATGTGAATTCCCCTCTTTCGAAATTCGATAATGCTAAAGGATTTTATTTGACATCGCTAAGGCCTTATTTCTTAGAGTGTTTCTATACTTAATAGCTTTATCCGTCTTTTCATCCCGGGTTAACCGTACTCCCAAGTGCTTACACTCCGAGTAGCCTTTGATTCCTTGTTTATCTTCCAACTTAATGTTATGCTGCTCACCACCCAAAATCGGTTTCTCCGTTTTTGTCCCTCTTTTTTAATGGGAGAAAAATAATTAGCAGCACAAATGAAAGGAGAAAATAAATGCAAAATAAGCGGTCCAAACATTCTCTGATTAGAAAATTCAAAGTAAGGGGAGATTAATAAAGGAATCAAGGAAATGAAAAAAAAATCCATTAAAATGAAGTATTTAAATAAGTTGAAATGAAGAAGAAAAAATGAAAATATTTCTTACTTTAAAAAAGTAAAAAATTAATGGGTCAAGCATTTTATAACGCGGTCTTGGAACCCCTCCCCCCTCTCTACCCCACGTGATGCGCTCGTAACGCAGATTCAAATACTCTCTTCCCTGTGGCGTCACGTATTCAGTGAACGGCCTCCAATCATGATTGAACTGCCGTATCACCGAAGAGAATTATCAACCAGATATTTGGAATCGAGTTTTCTTCAAAATTTGATTGATCTAAACGGGAAAAAGTATGGTAAATGTGCTGATTTCGAACCGAGGTATAGTATTTTGGACCACGAGGCTTCTAGCGTACTTCCATTTTTTTTATTTTTTTATTTTTTTTATTTTTCCAAATAATTTTTTGTGTTAAGATCAATCGGATTTTGAAGAATACGCGATTTTAGACCTAGTTGGACTACATTTTGCAATTTGGATCTATAAATTCTAGCCCGGTTTAAAAACAACGTATGTGCCATTAGTTTCCCTATGCACATAAGTGTTTTTCCAGGGGAGCTGGAATCTATAGTTCCAAATTGCAAAATGCAGTCCAGTTGATACTTCTTGTCGGGGAAACGAAAATAATTGAAAATAATGTCGAAATAATTCTCTCTACGAATGGGAGGGAAGAGATCTTGGCGAGTTCTGAAATGCTTGACGCTGCATTTTTTTTAAAAAAAAAGAAAATGTAAGGAGGATTCTTTTCATTTTTGATTTTCCATTTTATTTTATTTTGATATTTAATTCTTTTTAGTTTTCTTTATCTTCTCCTTTTTACTTTGAATTCTCTGAACGGAACATTTTCGGACTGCTAATTTTGCATGTATTTCATTCTTTTATTTTGGCCTCCATCCGTTTTCCTACCAGTAAAAAAAGAAAGGGAAAATTGAAGTAATTGGTGATTTTTCCAATGAAGGGGAGGATTATGCAATTTAGTTCTATTTATTTTTGTGCAAGTATAGTTTTAGCTTTTATTCAAATGTAAGAAGAAAAAACAGGAATAAACAGCTTTAATGTGAAACTAGGTGTGATGGATTTGTTTTGTGTTATAAATTCATAATGAAACTAGCAATTTAGAATACATTGTTCGATTTACGACTGTTCGCTTACTCCCAATGTAGATTCACCTAAAAAGCAGAACTTTCTCTATGAAGATGTGACAAAAAGCGCTATTATCGTTAACCTCTCTTTTTCTAACACATTTTCTAACGCAGCAGTCGTTTTATAATGTTGCGTATCGCTAGACATTGCCACTGCTTCCCCCGTCCCTCAAGTAATAGCAGAGCAATCGTATCAACTACAAAATTTGACCTGTGACCTTCACTTCCAACGATAAAAATCCGTTTTTCTCGTTTGCTTGTTGCTCCCCAATCAAAACATGCCGTTAACTTTCTGCCTTGGACACGCTTTTGCGCCACATTTTGTCTTCCTCTTCGTTCGAGATTCGTGGAGCGAACATGGGGAACTTTCTTTACTTTATGATGATGTTATACGGTTACATATGTGAAAGCAATGACCCCTTAAATTTCCTAGTGTCTTCCTATCTGAATTTTTTTGATTATTAGCATAATAAATATTACGTGGATTGTAGCCATCAATACACATTTATAGATTCAAGATATGAAGCAATGAGCAGCGTCGGCACTGGATGTTAATAGGTTTTTTAAGTACGGTAAAAAGAGTCAAAATTGAAAAAAAACGTCGAACTCCTTCGCAAAAAGTGCAAAGCAAGGGAGTTATATCTTAATATTTTCAGTTGATAATGATTATTTTTTAAATATATTTTTAAGCGTTTCTGTAGACTTAATCGCTTATTTTAAATTACTAGGATTCCTGTGTAAAACTTTGGCCTAAATTATCCTCCTATAATATGTTCTCGGGGAAGCTTTTGGAGCCGTTGCAACCAGAGACAAAGAGACCCTCAACTGGCCTCTTGGCGAATTGTAGAAACTTTTTATTTCGGGGATTTAAAATTTCCTCATGGACGATTATAAGGGAGCAGCAGTCGTCACCTTTTTTTTGGCTGTTGACCTATGTAGGTGAATGATGAGTTTTGGATGACGTCATGAGCAGAACTAGATTACCAAACTTCATTTTTTTTCAAAACGAAATACTCAACACGGTGCTGAACATCCACCTAGTAGGGAGGTCAAAAGTTGAAATTGGAAAGTCTCGAAAGTAAAAGCTCCCACCATTGCCAGACTACCAATGGAGGGTATCTTGTCTCTGATCGCAACATTGAATGAAAAATGCCGACCGTTGCATACATATAAATCAAAATGATAGAAAACGAAGTTTTATTTGCTCGCATTATCGTGAACTTCACTCAAATTGCAAAGTCAGGCGTATTTATCCAGAATCCAGTTTTACGAAGAACATTCGAAAAAATCTTCTCAACCCTGATCTCTAGTATTGCGACAACGCCCTCCCATCCGGGGTCACCGCCTTTTTTTGGTTCTTTAAGGTCATAAAGTACATAGAGTCGTAGTGTAAGTGGGAGAGCTGGCGCACTTTTCAGCACTTTCCAGGTCCCGAATTCTGAGACTCCCGTGTCACGCCGGGCTACTTTTTCGGTACATAATCGATTGTTTTCGCTACACGGGGACCCGGCCATCCGATGTAAAAGGAGAGAATAGGAATTACTGCGTATTCCACACCGCCATTTTGGATCGAACATGTATCGAAAAAGTGACCGAAGCTCGGCGCACACCGGGCTCGGAACTCGTCGACAAGAACATGGCGCCAGCTCTCATTTACATTACGACTCTATGCACTCTACGTTTAAGGTAAACATGGGACCAGTGTTCTGCCTTCCTCCTAAAATTTTAGGCGCATCCTTGACCGGAAAGCCCGATTTTTAGGAGCCATCTACTATTTTTTAGGAGCCATCTACTATTTTTTAGGAGCCATCTACTATTTTTTAGGAGCCAAATTAAATATTTGGACACGGGCCATAGCGAATGGCCACGGTGCGTACAGATCATCGCTACCTCGCCACCATCGCTTCATGGCTACCGCCGCTTCCAGATTGCAAGTTCAACCTGTCAAATGTTTTAGGCGCCATGATGGCCCAGCCCCCCTAATTTTTAGGCGCCAAGGCCCGATTTTAGGCGCATTTGACGCATGGCGGCCGGGAGGGCAGAACACTGCATGGGACCCATCAATGTTTACACTCTCTCTGAAATGGTGCTATATATTAACATGAAACTGTCTCGAGTATGACGTAGGAAAAGGAATAGCATTAATCGTAATTTTTCGGCGCCATTCATGGCTTGAAGTTGAGGCTAAAGCGACCCCCACCCCTGGCGAGGCTTATCTAATTATGTCATTGTCTCGATGTAATCAATGGGTCTTTGCAATGTCAAGCTCGCATCCATGCGCCTTGCAGAATGAGCACAGAAAAATTTGACTGGGATGGAGGCGACGTCGGCCACATCCACACCAACCACCGACGGGCGTCAAATTATTAAAAACGGAACGTGAGTTGATAAGACAGTCTGTTTGTTGAGAGTTTGGAGACTGACCTGGACTCTGACTCCGTTCGCACCCGACCTAAGAGGCAAGGGCTCCCCGTGCTCATCTATGATAATTAATTAAAATTGCGCTATTATCCAGTGTCCGTCTTTCGAAACTCAAACGCGTCGGTAACGTAGTTCGGTAGTTCCAATCGCTTGGATTAACATGTCGTTCAAGTACAAGCTTTCCCGCCCAGGTAAATCGTGCACATTAATTACTCAACGAGATTATTCGGTTTTTCGGCTACTCATAATGCGAAAATAAAGGTTGGGCTATTAGCCGACTTTACAAGTATTTGCATTGGTGAAGACCAAAGTGTTGGTCGAAACGTTTGCGAGTTGAAGTAAATATATTAACATCCTCTTGCACATTGTTTTTTTTATTAAAGCATGGTCTGAGTCGCAATCATTCCACATATTTGTAAAGTCAGGTAACAGCTCAGCCTTTGTTTTTTAATTACCTAATTCCCCATAAAACTCTCTCAATTATTCGTTAAATTCACCCCTAGAAGTATTACACTGACATGATCACCTCATTCGTATGACCTCTCATCCTAATCATTTCCTATATTTTTCATATGCTTTAAATAATTTTTCTTCACTTCTTCAATAGACCCTCAAATCCGGAGGCAAAAAATGATAGATTTAACTATATTTGTGTCTAATTTCGGCGCAAACCAACAATCGCGGTTGATTCTCTAGTTTAGTTCATCACATGTAAATCCAATCTTACTGGAAAACTGGCTGGCTCAGTCAGGGCTCTCGTAAGAGTGGGTCTAATCAGCGTTACCATTGATTTTGATAATGTATTTATATCACTTCAAGATTGGCGCCAAAATCAGCGGTAACTATGGATGAGTCGTATCAGTTTATTTTGTGTACCAGAAAATACATCTCTTCATCAGTCCTTCTTGTTTGACTTGATGGATTCATTTCTTTTTTCTTCTTCTTCTTCTTCTTCTTTTTTTTGAGCAAATGTAAGTTTTTTGAGTTTTAATGTTTTTTGTACCTGCGAATTAAAACGACCGAATGGTCAAAAATCCGCATTTAGTAGGATTCATATCGCGCACTGGACTGATTTTGCCGCGCTGCACAATTGAAGGGGTTTTTTGTCCTAGCCATTCTTTCCCGGAGACTATGGAAGCACTATTAGACAAACAGAACAATTTTTGTGATTATGACGATTTTTCTGACTTATAAATTCACCTTAAAAAGCTAACTCGACTCACGTTGCCTTGTCCCCCTTTCTTTCCCTCCCTCGAGGTAGAATTTTAAATGACATTTTAGAATGCACCGCACGCTATTCACGGTGATTTCTCGCTTATGAGTGCGCTTGAAAAATTTCAAATATACAAACCTAACTGTAAATAATAATTTACACAAGGAAAAGTATTGCAGTATGCTTAAATCTTTTTGGCGTTTACGGATCCGTCCGTAAATTTTCGGTGGCAACTTTTTGTGGTAAGCTCAAAAAAAAAAAGCTTCTTAAGAAAAGATGTAATCAAAGTGTACTAAAAAAGCTAACAGATTTTCCTTATGATCTACTTGAAATTTTTTTAATTCATCCAAGTGCCCTCTATGAATTCTGAATAAATGTATGAATTTTAACTTGAGCTCTTTCAACATACAAGGATACTTTTTAAATAAAACTAGTATATTGTTCTACGACCGAAGTGTCGTTGTAAAGATGTTTTTACTGATGCATAAAAAAGAGTGCGTAAATTATATTTTTGAGTGTGAGCTACATTCCACATTACATTTGGACTACGACAACTTCTCTTCGAAATCTTGGGAAACCAGAGTTAGGAAAAATGACGGTGCGAAAACATTTTGGTTGACTAAACAATGGATTCTGACACTTGTACGAAACTGTTCTCATTGGAAGGGTAAATAATCCCCGTGACTCATCTTCGTTATCATTACGCGCAACAGATAAAATTGATGCATTGATAAGAGTCACAGATTTCTTGAAAATGGGGGTTCGAACACACGCCAAAAATGGTCCACTGATCGAGGCTGTCAAAATGATGTAATTGATCATACGATTTCATACTTTATCATCTTTCCTCCTTTCAATTACTAGTTAAGATTGATGTTTAAGTCATACTTCCGTTTCATCGGTTTTTTGATGAGGAGACTTCAAATCAGTTACGCAGTTCAGTCGAACTGCGGCTTCCAGTCAATTAATTTTGTTCAACCATTTACTTTCAACTGCAATTTTAGATTCTCGTGAAATAATTACCTGTGCAGAGGCACAGAGGAGTAAATTTTTAAAAACGAGAGTAGGTACGGGAAGACTATAAAAAAATACTAGAGGGAGCAAAGCAAGATGTTGAACCATAACAGGCTCATTTTTAGCTGCAATAGCAAAAAAGATTTATACCAAATTGAGAATTTTTAGTGTACACCTACGCGTATTTAAAATTTTAGCATTATTTACGCATGCTTTTAGTTTTTACTATTAGTGCTTTAGTTTTTTCAATTCAAGCGGTCCGGGTCTATTGCTTTGGTTGACCTCACACTTAATTGAACGTATCTCTGTTAAACGGGACTAAGCGCCAAATTGAGTTCCTTTTGAGAATTTTAGAATCCTAGACAGCGCGTTCCGTCAAACGGAACTAAGCGCCATGGAAATGGAAACTGCATTGCGAGTGTAAGACAGAACGAGCATTGCATTCTGCAACTTTCGCCAATCTAAGCCATGCTCTCCCTTCCTCCCCCTATGGCGCTTAGCTCCGTTTGATATATATAAATAGTCCAATTAATGAAATTATTCATATTTAAAATCATAAATTATTGGGGAGCACCTATAGACCCGTGACTTCAGTCACAGGATTTTCGCTAGTTTTCGATTCTTCGGCGAATCTGCGTTGCAAGCCATACGCTGAGCATGAGATAGACCACACTATACCAATTTGACCGATTCTGTCGTTCAGAACGTTTGGAATTTGTGATTTTCTCTCTGAGAGGTCTCCAGTTGGGAGAGACACATATTTTTTCACCATCTCTTATCGATTTTCACTTAAACGCTCTCTGCTCATGGACGCTGCGAATGCTAGGATGTTTTCTCTGAGGGGTCCTCTGAGAAGCTGGAAAAATATGCAGAGAGGAACAAATTAGAAGCGAGGAGAAATTAACTGGTAGGGCTTCTCATGTGTAATTGATCGACTCGAGTCCTCCTCAATTCATTCCTCCCTTGGTCCGCTGTCCTCCGTCCGTTCTGCTCAAGACGTGACATTTCCTCACGATATTCGAGAACCTCAGTCTTTGTAAAAAAATTTCTTTACTTCGCCATGTCCACCGCTAGTTTGGATTCAATTGGTGAGTTTTAAACATACCTGAAGACTTCATTCTAATTTATTTGTTTAGATAAAAAGGGCTTTTTTGATCGATTACGTCTGCAGTTAATATGAGACAGCCGTCTCTAACTGTAACGAAAAAGACACATTAGAGCTCACATTAGCTTTTATCGTCAACCTCCGGCCAAAGTATCACAAGCGCCATGTGAGGTCCAAAAATTTCCGCCGCCATTTCCTTTTTTTCACAGTTTTTTGCTGTTTTCTGAACGCTTGCATAGTAATTTGCCCCAGCCTGATCCAACATGCCTTAACTTTTTGATTATTCTTCATATTTCTCAACCCCGGAGAGCGTGGAACGGACTTAGGTATGTTAGTTGGGCTAAAAGAGAATTTTACTCGAAATCTTTTATGGTGCATGCAACATTTTTGAGGAAAAATACTCATAAATTTACTCCCTAGTAAATATTTCGTTAGAAAAACTATGGCAACATCCGGTTGCTCATACGGTGTTGTTCCTCAATTCGTCACCTTTCAGCCAAAGTATCACAAGCGCCATGCGAAGTTTCAAAATTTCCGCCGCCATTTTATATTTTTACAGAGAAAAAGAAATTAGTGAAATTTTGGGATAGCTTTGTTGAACAATTTCTGTGTAAAAAAATAAAATTGCGGCGGAAATTTTGCAACGTCGCATGGCGCTTGTGATACTTTGGCCGGAAGGTGGGGAACTCGGGAGAGAAGTCTCGGAAGCCGGATCTTGGGATGTTTGCACGGCGGCGACGGAAATCAGGGCGACGGCGGACGGCAAACAGGGCTGGCGGCGCCTTGACCCCATTCGGACACTGATCGCGATGGAAAATCAGTCAGCGTTGATAAGCCGATCGCGTAGAACGCGTCAACAAGTGCATACTTTTAGGCACTCACCTCGTGCAATTAGTCCAGTTGCACCGGCATCATGGAATGGCACTGGGATTTCCCCCCTCCTCTTTGAGACCGTGCAGAAAAACACTTTCTCTTCCCGGTTGCTTGGGAATTTAGGTCAATTGATTTTTTCATTAGTGGAGGTCAAACTGCACTTTACAATTACTACAGTTGGAATATGAACGCTTCAACCTTTTTTTTTTTTCATCCGGACCAGATGATCGGGTGATAATATGCATTATACGGATTTAACCGGAATCAGCCTGTTTCGGTTTCACGTTGCCTGATTCTATCTGATTTTTTTTCTTTTTTTTTTCACCGAGAACATAATTACCTTACGCCTTTGAACATTCTATGAATTTACCCCAGATTATGAAGAATATACTCGCACGATTCCAAGCTTCAGGGTTGCTTAATTTTCTGTTTTAATAGTGAAACGTGATAGAAAATTAGGCAGCGTCTGATGTTCTTAGGTTGATTTTGATTTGATAGCGAATCTCTGGAAGCCGTTTACACAAAACTTGCCTCTCGGAAGCCGTGATTGATTTGAATCCTCATCAATCGCAGTCCCTTGAAATATTTGCGAACAACTATGAAAAAACAACCAGCCGTTTAATAATAATTACTGAGAAAAGAAGTAGACGAATCGATGGTGAAATTAGAAACCAACTCGACTGTAACGTCTCAAAATCTCTACGTTTATCCATTTTCTCAAAGTACAGAGAACTATTATCATCACTCATAATCTTCTCTAATTCCCCTTCCCCACCCAAATTTTCACACGGGGAAATGTCTCTCGTGGTTTTCAAAAATTAACACAGAAAATGTTCCAAACTATAAAAAGAAGGATAACGGGAGGTTTCAAATTGAAATATGCGTTTTCTCAGCTCCACATTCGAGGCACATTGAATCTGGCTCTTAACCCAACAGTAATTTATCCTCGAATATCGCCAGGGTAGTTTTGTAAACGTATCCGATTAATTATTTCTATTAAAGGATATTGTTATCACACCATTGAAACCTGTCAGATCAAAAACCAAAAGAGGATGTACGCGGTGGAATTTAAATACCCTTCGTTTTGACTTATTGATAAGATACAACACAAATACTACGCGTTTATGAGGGATCAATCGAGAAACTCAATATCAGAAGTAAGGATTTGCATTGGCAATAGAGATTCAGATCAAACTCTGAGGATACAACTATTTGAACTCTTAGGAGATGATTTTGCCTACTCGGCGGATAGAAGGCGAATACCCAGCTGTGTCGCTCACTTGCGCTCTTTCCATCGCACACGGCAGCCTAGTTCGCCCTCACTTGGACTGGTTGGACAAAATCAGATTTGAAGAATCGAAACCTTAGGGATCTCTTCACTTAGTTCACGAGCGTGAGTCCGCAAAAAGTACCATCGGTACCCTCCTATACTCACTGTCAACTTTTTATGAAATAGCTTCAATCGAAGCAAAATAAATTTTAGCCTGGTTGAAAATTTCTTAGCCTGCACACGTACTAATAGGTATGTTAGTTAAGCAACTACACGCCTGAATTAACTATTTCTCCACTCTTTCTGTGTCTGTCTGATAAGTTTAAGTCACTACTAAGTACTAAAGTCTTGGTTTCTTAAATGTGCAGGTGCTCCCATCTCCGGGAAAGGAGGAATTAACGCACCTCTCATTGTGGTGTCCAACCGACTGCCATTCGTCCTACACAGAAACAAAGATGGAACCCTTGAGAGGAAACAAAGGTAAGTTGTATTAAATTATAGCTCATTAGTTTTCAATATTTTCTTAACACTCCTTAAAGAATATTTCATCAGTCATCCTCGATGCTTTTTGAGCTCTGAATTTTGAACATTTAAAAAATATTGGTACTTCAAAAAGTCAAATTGTAACGATAAAACAAGTTTGTTCACTGGTTGTTCAATATTTCAAATTATGAATGGGCAAATTGCAAAATATTGCAGTGGAATTTAGGACAGCACTACGCGACAGTTGCGAAAGCGCCTTCAAGTAGGGGTGATGCAATATGGGATGCAGTTGATCACATCCCATAATGACGCATTATGCTTGCTGTTGGTTTAAATGCAATTGTGGATGCCTCGATTTGAACAAAAACGTGAGACCTATGAATTACGAAAATGCATATCTAAAGCAGAGATTCTGCACTGACGTATCCATAAGCTAAGCCATCACAGCACTGTTGTGCTGTGAAGAAAATGTTTAAGAAAATGAAGAAAAACGTGCGACACATAAAAAACAGTTTATGTGCCATCCTCAAATTATAAAATGTGCCCGGGTAGATGTTATATAGCTGATTGTGAAAATGATCTCCTTAACTTTCCATCATTTCGAAAATTTCCCCTATAGACGGATTTTTCTAAGAAACCTCTGATTGAGGAAAACCGAGGTAATTTTTGGCACCGTTACAAGTATACGTAAAAATAACTCGTGACTCGGGACCAACAAGATGTATACTGAATCGTCTTTGAAGTGAGATTCGCCTACTTTTAAGCTCTCTGCGCGTATTAACAGGAATACAAACACAGCCCTTCGCAAAAAAAGAAGGAAAAACAGATTTATGTCTCGGTTCCAACACGGTAGTGAATCAGGCCTCTTCAAGACTGAATTCATCAATCAGTATACCGACGGTGAAACTACCGAACCACGTATCTCGTTTGCGCGGTGTTTAAAAATCTACGCTCGCATTTTATTTTTTTGAAGTAGACCAAATCAATATCATTCCTTGAAATTTTCACAGAATTTTCTCCGCGCGAAGAGAAAAAATCACAGAAATTTTCAAGACTGGACGTTAAGTAGTTTTTCATTTAAAAAATAAAGTATGACAGGAAGTCTACGAAGTCGCAAACCGAGATACGTGGTTTGGTAGTTTCACCGTTGATACCTAATCGACCATCAAAATCAACAAACACTGTAATTTTAACCAATATTAGTATTTTTTTTTTCTGATAATACGCTAATCTACAGGATAATCAGTGTAAATGCATTCTTCATATTTTAAGAATTGTGTCAGGAAACACGCAGAAGAAATTTATTAATAAAAATAATGGAGTTTTCTTGTACGGAGAAAAAAACGTAAAATTTGTGATGAGACGACGGCGTTCTTATTTTATTCAGCATCATTCACACCGGTTGCTTCGAGCACTATACCGGAAAAGCCAGGTGTAGAGAAAACCATGGGATACACTACGGCGGCGAATGACGCCATACGTAACTCTTTTAGAAGAACGATGCCTCGATTAATATCGAAATTAATAACTTCGCGTCTGGATCAAGTATAACTTTTTTGGGTAATCTGTGGGAGTCGCGCATCATTTACGGCTGTGACTAGTGCAGACGACTTATTGTATTTCCAAACTAGCATCGGAGAATAATCCGGCCTTATCTTCGCGGTTCGACGGCATAGGTGACATGCCTACGCATCGGTGATAATCCACCCCCTCCCCTCTTGTTATCTTTAAATGAAACTAAGAAAATTGAAGAAATAGATTGGTTTGGAGTCTGATGTAATATATTGCACATACGTATAATGCGGGTTAGCACCGGGGATATCTTGTGGTATCTGACGAAGCACGTGTAATTACTGATAATGCGTGTAATCTCTTAACTGATAGTAAAGAAGAGATTTCGCCTAATTACTGTGGATCTTCAACTTCTGGTGTGGCGTATCGCCACCACTTTAATGTATTGTAGATTGCAGCTACTTCGGTGCTTTTTTGGGGTGAGCTGAAATGTCAGTTTACAGTTCAATCACCGAGAAATATGCGTACAAAAAATTAACCTTTGAAGCCTCATAAGTTCAAAAACTTTCTCTTCGATCGATGATGAATCTTTATTAATGCTCCACTAAAAACAAAGCTTTTGACCATATTTTAAGGTTGGACAGATGCTCTCTAATTTTATATCCCGTTTCATAGTGATTGATCTGGATGCTACCATTTCAATCTATCCAAATAATCTTTCTCATATTTGAAATTTAAAATCCGTCAATCGCACACAGAACGACTTGCTCCAAAGCCTATGACGTGACGAAGTTTTTTTGCCCCCCCCCCCCAANCTCCCCCTCCCGCCATTCTGATCCAATTCCAAAATGAAATTTTCACTCCCTCCCTTACCACCCGTTCATTACTGTCCCCAAAGCTCCTCCCCTCGTAAGGACCAAATTTCAAAAATTTTCGAGAAAATCGCTCTTCTCAACTCAGCTTATTTCAGTGGCTAAGGGCCAAAGAACCGCAACTACATTTTTATCGATTCAAGAAATCTGGGCACAAGTGTCATTGTCTGCGGCGTATTTTGCAAATTAAAAACTTTGTAGCTTAGGCCTGACGTAAGGTATCATAATTAAACTTTGTGTAAAGTGTTGATGTACAGCAAATTATCGCGAAAAATCGAGGGAAAAAATTATTTTTTCTATAACACGGTTTCTATACAAGCCCTCGAATATTCAGCATACTTTGTCCACATATTGATGCAGCTTAGTATAGTACACAGGTGTACCTTGAAACCCGATTTTTGAAATTTTCACTCAGATAACTGTGGTTACCTTTTTCCTGTGCAAAACGGGGGCAGAAATTTGGCTGTCAATCTGTGCAGAAGTAACATAGATTCCATCAAAGAACTAGTGTCTGGCGAAAAAATTTGCTCAGTCCGTAGATTGGGCAATTTTGCCGACGGTGCGGAAATACACAAGACATTCCTCTTAAACACGGCAGTACTGGTTCGTCACCCTCGTGACTTATTTTAGTCTATTAAATTATTTTGACATTGCGTAAAATAAGGGAATCCCATCGAATCAGTGATAAGCAAACTATCGCTGTGCACGATTTGTGGGTGGCACGTTTTCATCACTTTCATTTTAAAGAGCGCCCCACACCTGAGTTCAATGTTTCCACACCTGCTATCAGCGTCTTCGAGTCGTACTCCGTCTCATTTTTATCACAATGTTCTCCTCCTCAATATTAATAATTATTTTTTTTTTCGCGACTTAATCATAACACTTAGGAAATTTCCCACGGGGCGTCAAGTCTCAGAGGAGAGTGCAAGATATGAGACAGCCCTTTGAACCTGGACGTCATAAGGACGTTGGAGCTCTGTCAGGCCGTGAAGTTTTTTTTATCTTCTCAACAGATAGTATAATGCATGCTCTGCTGCATGTAGTCTTATCCTTGTTAATTTCTTATTTTTTTTCTTTTCATTCGCTGAAATATTTTGGAGGGAACGTCTGGCTCTGACACAGAAAAGAAAATTAGCACAAAAATGAAGCAATCTACTTTCGTTATGTTTTCGTGATAATTTCAACGCTTCATATCGTTAATTTGTTCGAGGTCAAAATACAGAGTTAATTTATCGTCGGAAACAGCCGCTCTATACCTTCAAAATCATCTTCAAAGGTTACGAACCAAATAAATACGTTGGGGATGTAAACGATTTCTCTCCAAGCTTTTGCATTCACATTTAAATGTAATGACAAAATAATAGAGAAATCGTATAGAGAAGCGTGTTTTTTAGTTCCATGCAATTAGATGAGAAACAGGTTTTTACAAGTTCTTACTTTGCTTCAAAATCGCTGAAATTAAAGTTTTTCGAATTTCAATCATTCTAACAATTTTAAAAGTAGGGCCGTTAATCGTTGAAGCATTCACGGAAAACTATCTCTTTATTCAGTAACGTTTCCTGAATGATAATTTAGAAGGGATGGACTTGACAGGGGAGATAAATGAGGGTTTCGCGCAATATCATGTCGCCCACAATTTTTGAGGTAGAACAGGAAACATCTGCCATCTGCAATAAGTATGCATCCAATGATTTGTAATTTTGGTTTCCTTATGAGTCTGGCCTGCCGTAAATTAAGTTAAGCTTTATCTATAAATTTGAAAGCTAGCTCTGCTGTTATATTGAAATCTGTATGCTTGCTGATAAATTAATGATCTAAAAATTTCTGCTCCCAAATTTCATGGGAGAAGCAGTGGTTTTCTTTCCGTGCGTTCAGAAAATACCACAGGTTTTGATTAGACTTGTATCACAGGCGGTTAGCAATCGCCGGCAATTTGCAAGCTCCGCGCTTGTCAATTCGTCATAAATTTCAATTGCAATAACATCGATGTGGTAAAGGTTTCTTTAGGGAAGAGATGCAAGGCACGACCTCACCTTGGAACGCCTTCAAATCCAGCAATACTCTCCGCTTTGCCGAGGAGTTAGTTTAGTTGCTTAACCTAACCAAACCCAACACATATTATTGATTCATTTCACAAACTCGCGAGTGCGCTAGCTGGTACCATACAATCAAGAAGAAGGAAATAACGTATGTTTGAATTCAAAGCATAAAAATCACTATTTCCTATCTCGTTTTTTCACTTGCAACTTGTTTAATTTGTTGATTCAACACGAATAGATTGCAATACACCGGCGATTGCTGATCGCCTGCGACATATGTATGTATAAGGCCTTGTCCACACGAACGCGGTTCGCGGAACTCAGTTCGAGAAACTTGTTCCCGGAACAAGTTTTTTGCTGAGCTGAAACTTATTCCTCCAAAACCTGGAATTTCCCCCGTGCTCCGAGCTTCTAAATATGTTTCTTTTGATGTGAATTTGCTTGTTTTTGTTTTTCACGTCCTTTACATATGATCTTGACATTTATTTTTGTTACTTTGGCGGTCATAATAATCTATTATTTTGCAATAATTGTATAGTTTTATTGAAGTTCCGGTTCCAGTTCGGACGAACCCGTGTGGACAGCATGCCTCGTTTCAAGGAATAAGTTCCGGGAACTGAGCAAGTTCGAGGAATAAGTTCCGCGAACTGCGCTCGTGTGGACAAGGCCTAACTCTCCGCATAAGTATTTAAAAATATATTTTCTCAAAATTAAACTTTGACTTCATGCCACTCTTTTTGGGAACACGAGTGCTCAGATTTCACGTCAAGGTCTAGGTTGACTTTTCTTTATTTGATTAGATCGACGGAGGTAAAAAGAAAAGTGTGGATTTTGAAAATATGTTAAATGATGATTTGTTTTGATTGCAGTGCCGGCGGTCTGGTTACAGCGGTGGCTCCAGTGGTCATCGACTACAAGGGTGTCTGGATTGGTTGGTCCGGCCTCTACGACATGAAACCAGACGAAAAGATACCAGAGTCTCACCCAGATGATCGTGCCCCAACTGCGGGGCTTCTTTCTAGTCAGGTAGCCTAATCTATCTCTGATTATATCTCATCTATCTAATCTATATATCGTCACTCTCCGGACAAAGTATCACAAGCGCCATGCGACGTTCACGTCAAAACTTCCGCCGCCATTTTATTTTTTAAAGACAACTTGTTCAACGAGGCTGTCCAAAAATTTCACTGAATAGTCTATGTGCTGCCGATACAATGTAGTGAAATTTTCAAACAGATTCAACCGACAATATATATGTAAAAAATAAAATGGCGGCAGAAATTTTGGAACGTCGCGTGCCGCTTGTGATACTTTGGCCGGAGAGTGACGATATAATGAGTCAGTTGCACCCGAGAGGTGCAGCGGTGTGAAGAGACTTCAGAGGGGCCTAGCTCGAAAATTAGGATGGACATATCAGAAAAGTAGTTTAGGCCCCTAGCAGGTCAGCCCAGACCGAAACTCAACCCCTGCGTGGGTGTGGCCGAAATGGGCTCACGTGCATTTGGGGCTTAAATTGTGATATTTGCGTCACTTTTTACAAACAATTCACATTTACACAAATTCGTCACTTTTTACCTCCCGGTTATCAACAAAAAAAAAAAATCAGAAAAGTCTAAAATCCACACCTTCGCGCGCACCCTGCGTTGTTCGTAACACGCCTCGCGCCGTTCCGAATTACGCGCCCAGACGCGGGAAATTGGGGGTAGTTTTTTAGTCACCGGAAACGTGTAAACGGTAACTACTGGCGGTCTCAGAAGTTTTCGGTAAATGCCGAAAGCTCTCGATTCGTTGTTTTTGTTCATTTGTTTTGTTTAAAAGCCAAACGTGATCTTTAATGGATGTCCATGCCTTGAGTTGTCATTTGTGCATTTCATCGATTTGCAGGTCACGTTGATAAATATTCTGTTTAGAGTGGTCAGTTTTCGTCAAATGCAAGTTACCACGAGCTTCCGTTGCTTCTCTTCCTTCACATGAGATGACTGAAAACTGCCCCTCGGCAAATTTGAAAGAGCATGTTCCAAAACACGCAAATTGCGCACAAAAGAGTAGCTTTCGATTTCGGACTTTTTTACGTGCCACCTTACCCAAGAGAAGTCGTTTTACGCGACTGTATCTTCCAGATTGTATCTGTAACGGGTGCATTCTACTTGAAAATAAGCCCAAGCTCCTTCGTTCTTCGTTACTACCAACATAAAGAGTAAATTAATACATGGCATCGCACGGATGCGACTATATCTGCTTGATATTTGTGTGTGTTGCATTTTTGAAACATAAGAGCGAATTCCTGGTTAAGGTCGCAGCACCATTTTCCTTCCAGAATTAATGTGATACGGATTTAAGGTCATAGCCAAGTAATCAGTGTCAAAAAGTACTGAGCGAAAGGCTAATTTCAGTGGTTAGTGCTTGTTCTGAGATCATCCTCATAGACATATGAGCTGAAACTTATTATGAATAACGTCATCGGTATATTTCCACTGGTCCCCGTTTTTTGTAACTGACCCAAGTGTTATATAGACCTGGACTTAATGTCAGATATACTTTACAGCAGATTGTTTGTTTTTATTGATTATTTATATTTGATTATTATATAACTTATATTTTGATTTTATTATTTGTTTTCTTCTTTGCAAATCACTTGGCCTTCGCACAACATTTTATTAATTTAAAGGCCTGGGGCACCTTTTCGCTATGAGCTATATGAGTTTTTTTAAAATCAATTTCTCCGCCATTTTTATGTAACTACACTACACATCAAAGCTGAATGCTTGGCCATTCTCATTTATGGCCCTTAAAACTAATAAATTTTAAGAGAGATGGATTCCAGGCTATGAAATTACGATGTATCGTCAAAATATTAGAGAAAGAAGGTTATCTTATAATACCTTGATTTACAGATTATTCCAGTGAATGTAGACGAAAACGAGTTCGAAGCTTACTACAATGGATGTTGTAACGGAACGTTTTGGCCTCTGTTTCACTCTATGCCCGACAGAGCCGTGTTTCAAGCAGATACTTGGAAGGTGAGAAATTTTAATTTTTTACTTTGCCTCAAATAGATTTTGTAAAAACTATCACATTTTTAAACGCTCATTTAGATTGATAACTGTATAGTTTGATGTCTTGGGCAAGATGATAATTGGTTTCACATAAGTCATTAAGTCATTAATATTCTATAAAGAAGCGAAAATTTCCTTTCATGCGCCAGGATGATAATTAAAGATGAAACATCTATTTTAAACTCCTCAAAGGACCATTTATGGCCAAATACTTAGTTGAAGGGAGGGAGGGGGGCTGAAACCTCAGAGATCTGATGGCCCTCCTCCCACAGACAGCTGTGACCTTATACATATAGCTGTTAAATACCAATTAGATCCTCTTGAGAAGTAAATGGGTCCTTTCCCCCTTCTTATACACCATAGAGAGAAAATGAAGTGTTTGCATCTTGATTGTTTACCCTGTAACATAGGCCGGTATAGGTACCTTAGCAAAATCCGGAATCCGGAGTATGAAAAATGGACCATAATGTCCGATTTTTTTGCTTAAATCATATTATTTTTAACACTTTATATAGGATGAATTTTTTCCATAAAATATACCATTTCCAAGAAAATCGTTGATAAAAATCGTCCGTATATACCGACCTTCGTCATTATCCATAAAAATCCAAGATGCCCATAATGCAAAAAAATTCATTTTTTTTTCTCCATGCTTATACACATTCAAATGTTTTAGCTAGACGTATGGATATGATGAGCAGTGCAGTTTAAGGAACTAAAAAGTAGATTAAAATCTCTTTCGGGGATTCATGAGAGAAATTGGATTGAGACCTTTGAAAACTTCTCTCAGAATGCAAATGCGCTAATTCATTCCCACCAAATAACTGTTTCTCATGAATTCAAAAATTCAAATGAAATTGTTCTTTATTCCTTTGTCAACTTGTAGGCATACTGCAGAGTGAACGACTTATTCGCGAAAGCAACCCTGGACGCTTTGAGGCGAATCTTGAAGGAGCTCGACGAGGAGGGAAAAACCGAGACTCTGCCTGTAGTTTGGATCCATGACTACCAACTTTTCACCGCGGCCACAACCATCCGTCAGGTTTGTCTTTCATTTATTTCCTTGCGTGTGGGTTTCACACGAGATACTTTCAGAATTTCTACCAATACACCCAGATCTGTAGATAATACCATGAAAAATGCACAAAAATAGCTAATGCAATAGACTTTTCGGGGTGATTCAGATCTTGTAATAATTTAGAGGTTGACGGATTTGCAAATATTTTTTTAAAACAGATTGGTGAAGTCAAGAATCTCTTGACAAAAGAAAAAGCTCTAATAATTACAGTTTACTGATCAAAAACTCATATGTTTTTTGTCTTAAATTGCAGGCCTTGATAGAAAGTAAATGAAACAAGAAAAATAAATTAGAAAAAACAAAGGAAAAATAAGCTTATGAGGCGAGTACTAGCGCCCGAAAATTACAATTGAAAAAAAAAAAAAAAATTACCGAAAAGAGAAGCAAGAGAGTAAAACTGAATAACTCAAGGTCTACCTGGGCCAGATTGCGCACTTGACTTACTGCCTCGGCGTAGTTTATAATGAGGGGTCATCTCGATGCGCTGATTTTTCTCGCCAAGTTTCAAGTACAGCGTATCGAAGAAGGAAAACATTGTAAAATTTCAGTGATTCATAAATTAATTAAAGTGAGTTGATTCATTATTTAGAGCCAGTTTAACTTTCGAACCGACTGACTATGAACTACATGGATATTCAAGGATTTTCACCGATGAGAAATTTTTACAATCCTTTGCTTCACAATGTTTTGCCAATCGCAGGCGATCTGTCAAATCGGGTTTTCAGTTAAATGTATAGACGAAATAATAGTCAATTTCAAGACTTACCAAATTTTGAAAAATTGCCTGATTTTTACCGTTGTATTGTGATTTGATTCAGAGAATTCTGCCAGTTGCCGATTCTCATAGAATATCAATATTAAAATTTTGAGCCACACTTTTTCTATCACTTTTTTGAATTTTATAGTACAAAAATTAGCAAATTTGTGATAAATATCCTCCGGTAAACGTGGAAGTGACCCAACATTTTTACAGGGGATTTTTTACGCATTAATGTAAAGTTAACGTCAGAAATAGCGTGTAAATAACTCGGAATTTTAAGTCGGCAGAAAATCCGCCCCGCCGGTATATAGTTCTTACTTTGACGATCAGCATTGGCGGATCCACCAAATTGGCAACATTGTCTTTTCTCCATTTAAACCCATGAAAATGTATCGATTCTTGGAGGGGCCAGGTGCTCCGATAAGAATCGATTATTTAGCATAGGTTTAAATGGAGGAAATCCGGTGTTGCGACATTGCTGGATCCGCCTCTGATAATCAGTTCATTAAAAGTGGAAACTCACCTTCTGTTCAATTGGGAGCGTTCCAAACGCAATGCGAAGTTATTTTATATAGTAACGAGCAACTTCGAGATAAATTTTAATTTATAAATCCATATACCCAAGTATAAAATGACCCGACACTTTACAAGGAGAATTTATCTACGCACTTAGGCAGTCTGAACATAAAAAATTAATTGCAAAATCGCAGAAATTTAATTTGGGAGAACATGGATCGGATTCGACACATCAAGCAGGTGAGATTGCATCAATTCCGATTGGTTCAACATGTAAACATAGCCTTAAAAGTCAGGAATCTGACGGAACGGATTCCTTGTGATGGATTTTTTATTCTTATGAGTATAAAATGGCAATGAAAAGTGAGATCGTTAGGATTTTTCTCGTTTTCAGCCTACTTAAGTCCTAAAATTTTCGTTCGAGGTTATGTTCTATTGTTTTGAACCAAACGATACATCGAACCACTATCGAATACGATCCATACGACTTGCTGTCAAATAATGCTAACCTTGACTAGCAGTCTTTTAAAACGGAAAACGCACATCTCTTTCAAAGACAAACTGAAAGCGTTGCAAATACGAAAGCGAGGGTCTCTAACGAGATGCAAAATATTTACATCCAGCTTTCACTTTGTAAACACGGGCCGGAAACGGTGGATAAACACGTTTCGGATAAGTCGAACGAGCGACATGGCTCCCGGTATCCATTGACCTATCAACCGATTCGCTGATAACATATTTGTCAATGTTTGTGAAGGCGATAAGCTCGTGAAAAAAGTCGAGTTTTTTCGTCGATCCTAAGGCGCGGGTCAAACTCCGGGCGAGACCCTCTCGCGAGCAGTGACGTGGCGTACTTTGCGATATATCGATTGATTTGCCAATTAAACCTATGGGGAAGGATCGATAAACAGGGTGTTCGCAGTGAACACCTTAGTTATCGATTCTTTATCATAGCTTTAAATGGAGAAATATCGATAATCGATCATTCACGTCTCGCCACTGCTCGCGAGGACGAATTGGACGATGCCGCCATTGCCAAGATGACCGCCATCGACCGCGTTTTAGGTCGTCGTGCGTGCATTAAGTTCGGCACCTTGCAGCGCTGATTTTCTCGACTGCCAAGTGGCACGTATACTCAAATCAAAAGTCGGCTGGGTGATTGAACCAAGCATGAATCGGACGCACCTCATGCGAAACTATTCTGTTTGCGTATCACGAGCAAATAATCATAGAGCCATCCATAAATCGTCGTGTCTTAGACAAAAGAGCGAATCTTCATTCCGAGCTTCCAAAAGCTACCTACAGTATTAGCCAGTATTAGCTTATTTTAACCCACAAAAATAGCAGATTTGGTTTTAAATTCCGCTGATTCTTGACGGTACTCCCTGATATTCTCGATCAAATGCTCAATAGTAACCGAGTAAATGTAACATTTTCAGCGGAAATGTGGCAACATTGGAGAATACTCCTGATTTTTTGTCTACCGAACAAAAAGATGACGTTAGGTTTTTGGGGAGGAGGGGTCTGGTCCAGGACTGCTTGACAAATTGTCTTGAAGTAGAGTAGGAGGGAGAGAGAGGACTTTCGTGGGAGAGGAAGGGATGAAAAAAATCGTAAGAAAAGTTTAATTTCATGAATGAATTCACCAATTTTCCAGGTTTTGTAAAGGTTACTTCAGTATTTTACATGGAATGCTGATTTAAAAAACCAGTTTGTCTTAAATGTCGATAGTTTAAACTCTACGCTTCAAATTTTCTATTAATTTTTTAAATTCACTATGTTTTACAAAAGAATGAGTAGTTTTGAGTTCAATTGTTAAAGTTCAAACTTGGTTTTCTTTTAAACAACAAAAGTGTCACTATTACTGCATTAAGCTCTCCAAATCCGTTAAGTTAAATATTTTTGAAAATCTAAAAGGATCCTGTAGATTTAAAATTTAACCAATTTCTTCTCCATACCTAATAAATTACCGTGTCGACACTTTTATGTTTGCAAAAATATGTGGGACTTAAGTAAGTTTTGTTGATTCTAGGTTTGTGATGAAGAGAATTTGCGGTGCAAACTCGGCTTTTTCTTGCACATTCCTTTCCCATCCTGGGATATCATGAGGCTCTTCCCCTGGGACGACCAAATTCTGCAGGGAATATTGGGTAAGTGTTTTGAGTTGCGATTGACCCAGTACAAAATATATCCTTTCCAGGATAACATTAATTCAAATGCTTGCTTTTTCAGTAGGTACACGATGAATTCATAAGATAACATAATTTCCCTGGTAAAAATTGGCAGTAGAATCTGTGTTCCAAAATACTATAGACGTAAAGCCGGCTGTAAGATTTCCAATTGCTTTTGTAGCCGGCTGTACAATTTCTTTTAGCCTTTTATGGCCGATGGCGACTAAGCAACAGCCAGACGATAAAGTTTATGCTAAACGTTACTAAATACGGATACTAGGCCTTAGTTAGTTTTTGGACCACCGCTCTATTTTTGTGCCGTAGTATCTTGATTTATTTTGCGAGGAATGTTCCGCACTTTTGAAGGATGCCTGTCATTCTTAATATGTTGGAGCGCCTTCAATTTCTTATGATACTGTGCAATACCTCTGGTGTGAAATAGTTGCTTCAGACGCCGTGGCACGCTGCGGCGCAGCGGGCGGGCAGAAAGCGCGAAAGGCGCATTGGCGCCTACAAACCTAACAGGGATACTTCACTCATTGCGCAATGCGTGAAGTATCCCTGTTAGGTTTGGAGGCGCCAGTGCGTCGCCGCTCCGCTTTGTGTTAGGCTTTAATAGTTAATCTCGCGGAGTCAGCGTTTTTCAACTCATGATTTTGAAATGTTTGCACACTCTGTATGGATTATTCTCATTTTAATTTATGAAAAAAAATATGTTTTAAAGGAAAATATAACGTGTGTTATAAGGTAGTTCCATATCAAACTTAATTATTTCCAAAGCACACGAATTTCTACATAATTTCTTATAGCCTTTTATAGCCGATGGCGATAAAGTGTAAAGTCCGGCGATAGGAACTATATCCCGACTGTATAATTTTTTATAGCTTCGTATAGCCCGGCTATATGATTTGCTCCGCTTTCTACAGACAGCTATATGATTTTTAATAGCCTTCTTTAGTCGGCTATAAGAACTCCTCTGGTATTTTGAAACGCAGCTCCTATCGCCAATTCTTACCAGGGTTATAAATGATTCAACAAGAGGAAATCGCTCCCGTTTTTATTTTTCATTCAATATTGAGCGTATTATCATTGCTCCGAGCACAAAGCAATAAAAAACTTTTAACAAGATTGAAAATGTAGAACATAGGAAATAATTCCCTCACAGATGACCCTGAATATCTTCCCGATGGTCCTAAAGTCAAATATCTTAATTTTAAAATCGAATTTTCCTTTAAACATCTTAAAGTTCAATACCTAAAGAGACAAAACTAAATAAACCTAGTAAGGACAAGCCCCAGGAAGCCGAGACATAGGTTGGCAAAACTTCATGAAAAATAAAATGTCGCAATTCCACGTGAAATATTTCATGATATTTCAGAAATTTATGGAAAATATTGAAAAATATCCCTTCCCTTTCATGTTTCGCAAAATGTAAAAAATGTGACTATCTGTTATTTGTGTGTGTTTGAGTGCGGGTTGCATACTTTAGCCCCTGAAAAATATTTTACAGCCTTGTAAAATTTCATGAAATATTTCACTGCTATTTCCAAGGTTTCATTTCTTCCCTACGTTTCATGCCACCCTGCCCAGACATTGCCCCTCAAAAACTTCCCTTATGATGTTTGAGAGACATCCATAGAGTACATAGGGTCGTAATGTAAGTAAGAGAGCTGGCGCTACTTCTAGGCATTTTTCGGGGCCCGGATTCCGAGACTCCCATGTGACGCCGGGTCATTTTTTCGATACACAATCGATTATTTTCGATACACAGGTACCCGGCCATGTAAACAAATAAGATAGGAATTACCACATATTCCACACCGCTATTTTGGATCGAACATGTATCGAAAAAGTGACCGAAGCTCGGCGCACACCGGGCTCGGAACTCGTCGAGCAGAACATGGCGTCAGCTCTCCCATTTACATTACTATGGGAACTCTATGGGAACATCTTTCGGGAATTGTTAGTCGGAGAGGTTGGTATCGCTAGACTAAAAAGCCGCATCTATTTTCAGCGAACGACTTCGTTGGTTTCCACATCGAGGACTACTGCCTTAACTTCATCGACTGCTGCTGCCGGCGGCTGGGTTGCCGTGTGGACCGGAGCGGGATGCTCGTGGAGTTGGCCGGGCGGACGATCCACGTCAAAGCGCTGCCCATCGGGATCCCGTACGAGCGCTTCGTCCAGCTCGCCGAAGCCGCCCCCGTCTCCATCAAGGACACAGAATCCGTCAAGGTCATCCTCGGGGTCGACCGTCTGGACTACACCAAAGGTAATGCGCTAATCCCACCCTGCACACGGAGAAAAAAACTTCGTGCATGGGACCCGAAGTTGAGGTCACATGGATCTCTGAAGTTTTCTGATCACGCATCCGAAAACATGAGGTCGAGCTGCCGATGTTCGGGTCAGACATCGAGGCACTTCGGTATGTACCGGAGTACTTCAAATGTGTGACCCGGACCCTTCGGTATACATCGAAGTACTTCAGATGTCTGATCCGAACTTCGACAGCTGGACCTCAAGTTTTTAGATCCGAAAACTTCAGAGATCCATATGACCTCAACTTTGGGTCCCACGCACAATGTTTCTTTATCTGTGCAGTTCCGAGAGAAACTAGTGTTAATTAAATTTAGTTAGTCGTACCTAAGTATCAAAGTTTTTTGCGATGGTAAAGTGCTAGGAATGGGAACTGGAATTCCAGGGTTCGTCACTGGAAAATCCGGTAGTTGTGAGTGATTACCTTGTGAATGTGCATGTGCTTGTGTGTCTGTGTTTCTTTGCCAAAGTTTACTGGGAAAATAAGATTTTATCCGTGAATTCCTGAAAACTTCCCCGGGAACGGGAGGATCTCTGTTACATCTCTTGTCGCGCTTGTCTTAGAAATAAGCTTTGATAATTGAATTTTCCGCCTGAAATGAAAAAAAGATCGACCGATTACCTTAAGGTTATCACTGAAAGAGGCCTCAAAAAGTTCTCCTTAATTACTGCCTCAATTGCAACCTTTTATCATTTAGCCACTTCTGATTTTTCCGTTTTCGGTTATTTTCTTGAAAAGGGGCCTCTTCTACTCTCGGCATTTGAAAAAAGGAAATAACACTTTCTTCAAAATGAGAGGGGGGAGAGGAAGAGGGGAAAGAGGACAGAAATTAAACTATCATATTACAAGATACATTGCGTAGCATGTGAAAGAGTAGTTAGTGGAAGGTTCTATTCTAAAATTCTATCCGTTCCCTCCCTCGTAATTTATAGGTCCATTTCGAATTTTATAGTTGATATGAATAGCTCTATAGCTCCTACGAATCTCAGTAATAATAAAATAAACACTAGATTCCATGCCATGACAAACGCAACAAGGAACAGCCACTCACTAAGGCGCGGCCAAATATTTTTTGAAAAACTTCCCGCAAACCTAAAATCCAAATACAGGGACCCAAATTTTCTAAATGTACTAAAACAATTTTTTATTGCCAAGTGTTTGTATAGTGTAGCAGAATATTTAGCTTAAGTTCTGCAATCTCTTTTCCCTTCTTTTTTTTTTCTTATATCCTAACTAATTTTGACATATTTTTTTTCGCCGTTATAAATGTGCATTTACAAATAAAATAAATTATTATTATTATTATTCTCATAATTGTATGTGTCATTGCAGGTCTAGTGCACCGAATCTTGGCGTTCGAGCGTCTTTTGGAGAAGTACCCTCAATACATCGAGAAGGTGACACTGCTCCAGGTCTCGGTGCCGTCGCGGACGATCGTGCGGGAGTACCGTCAGCTGAAGGACGAGATGGACCAGATGATCGGGCGGATCAACGGGCGCTTCTCCAAGCCGAACTGGTCGCCGATCCGTTACATCTACGGCACCATCAGCCAGGAGCAGCTGGCCGCCCTCTACCGGGACGCCGCCGTCGCCCTCGTCACCCCGCTCCGCGACGGCATGAACCTCGTCGCCAAAGAGTACGTCGCCTGCCAGATCCGCGACCCCGGCGTCCTCATCCTCTCCCCCTTCGCCGGCGCCGGCGGCATGATGCACGAGGCCCTCGTCGTCAACCCCTACGAGATCAACGACTGCGCCGAGGTCATCCACCGCGCCCTCCACATGCCCCTCGAGGAACGCGAGCTCCGCATGATCCAACTCCGCCATCGTGAGGAGATCTGGGACGTGAACCATTGGATGAACTCCTTCCTCGCTTCCATGGGCGCCCTCGACGACGAAGATAAAGATCCCTTGACCACGAAAACCCTCCAACTCACCCTCGACGATTTCGACATGTACCTCCACGGCCACATCGACCGAATCTGCAAGCTCAGCCTCATCCTCGACTACGACGGTACCCTCACCCACCTGACCTCCCATCCTGACCTGGCCGTCATGTCCGACGAAACGAAACGCGTCCTCGAGCGGCTCACCAACATGCCCGACGTGAACATCTCCGTCATCTCCGGGCGAAGCCTCGAGAACGTCAAGAAGATGGTCGGCATCGAGAACGTGACCTACGCCGGTTCCCACGGTCTGGAGATCCTCCACCCGGACGGCACCAAGTTCATCCACCCGGTGCCGCACGAGTACGCGGAGAAACTGCGCGAGCTCATGCGTTCCCTCCAGGACGAAGTCTGTCGCGAGGGGGCCTGGATCGAGAACAAGGGCCTCCTCCTCACATTCCACTACCGAGAGACCCCGCTCAACATGCGCGACGACATCGTCAACAAGGCGACCGAGCTGTTCAAGGCGGCCGGCTTCGAGCCGCACATCGGGCAGTTGGCCATCGAGGCCAAGCCCCCGGTCAAGTGGGACCAAGGCCGGGCCTCCATCCATATCCTGCGCACCATGTACGGTGTCGACTGGTCAGAGCGGGTCCGGGTTATCTACGCTGGTAACGAAGACGCCATGCTCGCTCTCCAGGGTATCGCCATCACCTTCCGAGTGGATTCCTCGCCCACGGTCAAGACGGCGGCCGATTACCGTCTCGCTGGACCCGATGCTGTTCTGACCATGCTGCGCTGGGTCGAGAAGCAGATGAACAAACGAGAACCCCGCATTGCCAAGTCCCCGCGGTTGGCCCGCTCTTCCGTCGGGCAGAAGAAACAGCAGCAACAGTCCCTGGAGTGCATCCACTCGCAGATGTCCTTTGAGGAGGAGTCGGAGAACAAGCAGAAGAAGACGATGGCGCGGAACAGCAGCGGTCAGAGGCCCACCCCGCCGGCCGCCCTGGTCAATGGCGGCACCGCGAAGAAATGAAGCGCCTTTCGGCTGCCCGGCAGCTATCTCAAGTTCCTCCCAAGTCTCGACGGAAAGAGAGCATGAGGACCCGCGAATCTTGCCTACTCACACGCCATCCTTCACAGCAGTTATTCAGAGAAACCCCTTCATTTGTTGCCTAATGCAACAAGCTCTACCCGCTGCATGCGTGTATTGCACACATGATAGATTGAAGGGTTGTTTTGAGAGGAATTGTGAGGGTAACTCTTTAAATAAGCAAAATTTGCAGGTCTTAAGCTCGTTAATGGAAATTTGTGGTATCAGGAAGCGTAGGTCAAATTGTACACAGACTGTAAATAATGTTGGGAGAGGACCGAGGATTCGACAGTATTTTTGGCTATCTCTCTTTGGAAACAAACTATTTGTCTCTTTTTGCTTTATTTATTTTCTTTTATATAGGTGAGCGTAAAACGCTTGCGAAACTCCAGACAGAACCCTCTCATAATTTTTACAATGATCTTCCTACATTTCGTATTTGTTTTGTTTTGTACATTTTGTGCCGTTTCATCTTTTCTGCCTCTTGCTCTCCAAAATGAAAGAATGTTAAGTATGATTTGAAGTCGTAATCCATTCTTTTTTGTTAAGTAAATTCACTGCTGCTTTTTGAATTTCCTATGGCCATCAGTATACTCTTAGAGCTTTTGTAACATTGTGGTGGAAAGAATGGGCCCTTGTTTTCATTTCGCACTGTATCTTAGTATACAGGAAGAGAATCTCCATGGGATCTCGCTTTTGAGATTATCAGAAAAGAACACGAAAAATGATCGTAATTTAAACTAAGCATCTCAGGACTGATGCACCAAAAACTACAGAGTAATCTACAGCATGAAGAGGCCTGGTTTGAAAGACAGAATATTTTTTGCTCTCCTTAAATAATCCAAAAACTTTTTTGTATGTTTCTTTTGTTGTTTTTTTTATTTATATAATGTATTATAATGACCTATCATTACGGACTATGTAAGTAATTTATTAACTCTTTAGTCAAATAAGTTGATTAGTCAATATGATTATGATCTGATCGCTGTTAGGTGGTCCTGATTTATTTGCTGCCTATGGTTTTGTATCAATTTCTACTTTTTTCTACCACGTTCTATACTTTATTTGCAGATGCAGATAATGTGCCCAGTGATTATATTTATGAGGATTTTTTGCTTTTTAAATTTTCTTGATTATGCCACAAATACGTCCGATGTTGATAAAATTTAGAGTTAGGAGCTTCAAGTTTTCTTCATTTGAGGGAACACACGAAGAAGATTCAAAACTCCAAGTTTTGTCAACTTTTGATGAAGAATTTTTCAAGGCCATCTAGCATAAAACTGTGACCAAAAAATCATAAATAAGTCAGTCGTACATGTTTTGCGCATGAATGCAACATTATTCAATGGTTTTTGAATAACATTAATGAACCAAAAACAATACTTTCCCGCTCGTTATCAAAAGTTACATCGAAAAAAATTGAGTTAAATTAAGCATTCCATGATAATATATAAACTTTAAGAACGTTTTTATTTTATTGAAAATGAAAAGGTAATATTTACATGGACTAGAATGACTTTATTTAAATTGATAACTGCTATTATGGCACCCTAATACTGAGCACTTGATTTCACTTAATTTTGTTTTTCAGTGTTTGACTTTGGAATATTTCAATTGACACTAAACACCTTGACTCAAATTTAACGTGCTAAGCTTCTTTAATAAAGTGATAACAAAAAATTGCGCTTTTGCTAATTATGGAGGTGACTTATTTTAATTATCACCTTTCTTGAAAATAGAATGTTGTTGGATGCCTAAGTAATCTTATGTGTCAAATAACTGTAATTTGTACCTACTTTTGTAATGTGAATAACGTATTAAAGTGAAAGAAGTCAGGAAAACATCGTTTCATATTTATTTCAATCCATCCACCCTGCCCCGATGATTTTTTTTTATTCTCTTTATTTTCGAAAGCGGTATCTCTTTTTTTCTAGGGTTGAGCAATTTTGTTGACGCAAGAAAAATGAGGGGAGGGGGAGGATGACACACGAAAAAAAAAGGAAATACAGATTTTAGCAGCGCTAAGAATTCTTCCCAGTGTTTTGTAACACTTGTCTTATAGGCGACTTGTTACGTCACGCCGCCTCAACGGTGTGGCGATGCTCATTAGTCGGCAGAGAATTTTTACCTCCATTTAAATCCATTATTATAATCGATTCTAGGTAATCGATCTACATAGATTGTTTTATATACATATAAACTGAGAAAGCTGCTTGATGTTGCCAACTCGAAAAATTGCCACTGCATTCTACACAGTGGAAAATAATGAAAACAAAATGGCAATACACGTTTTCCATGTTGTACGAAAATTGAAACGCAATCCTGAGTTTTTCTGACAAATAATAATTAATGGAACATACTTACGGTTGAGTTCAACTTTCTTCAAAATGAGGAAGAATTTGCTCATTTTTGTGACAGTGCTGCTTAAGTAGCTCAAGTTACCAGCGATATTTTATCTCCAATATCTTGATACAACATACGTACACCCCAGATTTAACGCGAGAATAGGAGGCGACGATGGTGTTAAAACTTCCATTGTTTTGTTTATCGCTGCATTTAGTATGTGTTATTATGATGAATGGCATACTTTACAACAATTATTTGGCATACATTTCAGGGCAGTTTAAAATGAAAATCACAACACACATGCTGTTCTTTCACACGAAGAGATAAATATATGACGTTTCATACCTCTGAGGTAGGCAAGTCGTGAATGTATGTTATTAAGCGGTCCGAATATTTTTATTCTATGAAAGGTTCTGATTTTGCTGAGTATGCAATGAATCTTCTAGAGACCTCGTGATCTCTAGTCATACGAATAAAAGTGATTTTCGGCAAGGGAAGTCGAATTTCCCATGAGATTTTTGAAAAAAAAACTTAGAGGGAGCCTGTCTTTCTTGAAGTGCAAAAACATCTATAAGTAAAACCTTATAGTATTCAACAGCCCTTTGCATGATAACGTAATGTATGATCCTAAATATTTTCGTAAAAAAATATTTCAGCCTTTGTATATACTCGATTATCTGTCTAGGATGCGATCAATCGTTGTGACAGATGTTCAAATTTTGCAAGCATTTACTGCATTTAAAAACTTTAGCGGTCAAAGTGATCATATAATTTTACACGCAAAAGGAACCTCATACAGACAAACCATTATCTTTAGTAAAGAAGCAGCCGGTCAAACGTACATTTGGGTTGCGCATTCTATTACAATTCGACGGTGTAAGTCGGTAATCACATAACTCGGTTTGCGATGTTGCAGACTTCCTGTCATCTTTTATTTTTAAACGAAAAACTACTCAACGGCAATTCTTTAAAACTGTCGTGATTTTTCTTCTCTGTGTGAGGAAAATTCTGCAAAAACTTCAAGGAATGATGTCAATTTGTTCTCCTTTAAAAAAATAACATAGAGACAGAGATTTTCGGACACTGCATATGAGATATGTGATTGCGGACTTAGGCCGTCGGATTTCAGCATTTGCGTTTTTACAGAACCCGCGAGAGTGCCTGCCTGTAGATCAAGTATGCAACTATTACGACTCTCGAGTTGTTTGTAGTATACTTTCACGATTGAAGGCGTTTTTTGCTGGCAAATATCAAAGGATGAAATACGTCCCGCGGAATGAAAAGCCTGCTGAGCGAAGTCATGGAGTCGCAAGTTTCACAAGTCTTCTTTTGAAATGATTTTGAAATGTCTTCATAAAATAAGTAAATAATATACTGTCAAAGGCCAAAACAGGGAGTAAAAACATTGTCACTGAAGCAGTTCAGCTGCCGTTAGTTGAGAAAACACAGAGAATGAGGATTATTACTCAAAAAGATACTTATTTTTTTATTTTATTTGCGAGGAGATTCAATATAATTCATTGCAACGCCCACGTCCTCTTCAGGATAAATAGACGAACAAAGAGAAGTTATAGGAGGTAGCAAATAAGGAGTTTATGACTGAGTGAACTTATCATGTTGGTCGTCAGAAAATTTTAATTTGGAGGTATTATTATTCTTTCCATTATTATTTTCACCCTTTCTTATTCTTATTTTCCCTTTACCCTTTTTAAAAATATAAAACGACTTTTCCATCTCAAACTGTTCCGCTGATAATCGCATCCATTACTCATTCTTTATCGTTGATGTCGTGAAATCCCTAATTTTTACGTTGGATGCCTGTTGCGCATGATTGTAACGTTCTGCGTAGCAAAGCTACGACAGCTTACATACAGGACAATACCTAGGCATGATCTGAATCAAAATGAGTAGACATGAAGAGCCCAAACAAAGAGGGTGTTAAATTTTTTGAAACATAATGAAAAATATACGTCCTTTTGAAATTGCAAGAAAAAAGCTGTAGACTTATGAGATTCTTGTTACGAAACATGAAACTAAAAATGTTTTTTGGTAAAATTTTAATCAAAATTCCGTTTACTTTCCCCCCTACTTCCTTCAAAGGAAGTCTCAAGCCCTAAACATGCAGGAACACCAAAGTCAATTATTTCCACTCAAATTCTCAAATAAATTGCGAATTGTAGACCTTTTTTCATGGACCCCTGACCGGGGAGTACGAGCTTCAGAAACTCTCGGTCTTATTCGCGACATTCACCATTCAACGAAAAGTGTTTATTGAGAGAAGAAAAGAGAAGAAAGAACGGTTTCAAACATTGTTTCAGCTAAGAAGCAGGCGAGCGTACTCCATTATTGAGTTCATGCTCCCCTCCCCTCCCCATCTCTCTTCTCTCGGCAGTGTCTAAAAATGGGGAAGAAAGCGACGATACGAAAAACACAGTAACACGTTTTTAACCGGTTCGGCTCTTTAGCTCTACACGACATACTTCTGAAAGCCTCGGCAGCGTAGCCAAATTTCAAAAATTCTGAGCGAATCTCAAACACGAAGAAAATAAAAGTTTTTGGGTCAAATTTTACGGCCGGCAGTATTTTTTTGTAAAATTACCACAAAACAATTGCTCTGAGCTAAGCAAAAAGGAACCAAACTGATATGTATGTCAAAGTATTTTTTTGGAGAGAAAAATCATTTCAAGCTGGGCCATATCTGTAATAAGCCAAAGGAGACGCTTCCTCTCTGCCGAACTTATTTAAAAAAATTGTTGTTGATTTTAATAAAGTTAAGTCTACATTTTTAAAAATAATTTCGGCTCTGAGTGACTTTGGAATGTTCAATATTGAACTTTATTCTGAGTCAACATAACTTTGGGACTGAGCTGCTTTGCCGTGAAAACAGGTAACTTCACTCACGCAATGACTTATTGGTTTCGGACTCCGTGTCAATTATTTGTGAGCCAAGAAATTTACTCAAACGCTGACTTATTCCTCTAGGAGTCAACGTCGTTCATTCGTGAGCAAGGAAATCTCTCTGCCGTAAAACGTGCTGTGCGGGTGACTCAATCTGAAATACTCAAGGAAGTGTGCTCAAGGTTGTGTATGAGCACTGAATCTAACAGTAAGTTGAAATTATTTTAGCCAACGTGCGTTAAAAATCCAGAAAACTGGAAATCTCAATGCAGAGGGAAAAAGCCCACTCGAGCACAATTTTCCCTCAAGGAGTTACGCTGTTTGGTGCAGTACTAGCCACGACCATTTGGGAAGGCAACTGCAGACGCGTCTCGGGTCTAATAGAGAATTTGCAGGTGTCTGAAATTTGATGAATTTCGTGTTTAGGTAGAAACTACTCAGTGAACTGAATACGAGGATATCTTGGTTCATGAGTTGAACAATAATTGGAGAAGGTATGACAAAATGATCTAATCTGCAAAAATACGTGTGTTCAAATAGGAAATGCCGCCAGTTGGGCCCGTCACTGTGCGGTGCATTTTCCCACTTTCAAGTCTATTTTTATCCTATTTCCCATATTAGACAAAAATTATAAAAACAAAATGAAATCAGCTCTTTAAGCACTTTCAGATGAAGCAATAAAAAATGTGCATGCAAATTCTCCGTTGGACCCATCATCAATGCAGCGCAGCCACCTGAATTTTCTGCTAAACAGCGTATCTTTCTAAGGGAAAATAGAGCTCGAATGAGCTGGTTTATCGTATGATATACTATTATATATTAACGTAATATAGTAACTGTCTATACGACTCGTGCGTCTACCGCAATCAGTTTGTGACTGAATCTAAGTGAATTGTTTTTTTTTTTCACCGTGCGCTAACTTGGTCGTTTCTTTTCAATGCGACAGACCCAGTCAAGATCCTATCACGCCGAATTCTTATCGGGCGAGGACTAATGAAAATGACGGAGTGTTGATTCTGCGCGATTTACCAACAGCGCAGCGCGGCCCCCGCCGGGTCTTTCTTTCGGTTCCTTTTGTCTCCGGGAGGCACTTAAGAATTGCGGTCGCGGCGATGGATGGATGCGTCTGGAGTCGCGACGACGGCGCGAAATAAATCCGACAATTTTGGAAAGTGTTCGGGACTTGCCGATGGAATCGCGACGATGACGCCGGGAACCGCGACAGGCGGGGGCGAGGGGGGGGAGTGCGAGCGGGCGGGGAGGGTGCGGGGGCGTCGCAAACACCTGGTCAGTCCCACGCTTCTCCCTGTTCGGGGGGCTTCCTGATTCCCGCGCCTTCTCAACCCTTTGAGACACGGGGACCCGGCAGGGGCGTCTCGTCCAATTGGACGCATTTCTATCAAACGGAACTATGTGCATTAGGACGTGAGCCCTGTTATGCACGTATTCTTACGGGTCTCACGGCTTATGTCTTATGCACGTGGTTCCGTTTGATAGAAATACGTCCAATTTTCATGCAGGATTTTGTTACCGCCACGAAATATGGAAATGTCAACGTTTTAATGTCCCCGTCCGGCACGCACAGCCTCACATGTCGATCATGAGACTGGAAAATCACTGCTGTAAAGTCGAGGATTTTCGATTTGGCGAACAATACCTGCGAGAGAATTCGCAAGTAGCATACTATGTCATTTCCTCCGGATTTTGTCTATGAGATAGCACTGATATATTTTTTATTACATCATCATAGTACTACAAGTATATAAGCTTAACGACGCTTAAATTTTGGTATCTACCTTGACTTATTTTCTTTAAGACTGAGTGGGGTAAATCATTACAAATTATTTTTGTTTGTTTTTTTTTCTTTTCGCATGTACAGGCTCAAAGAACTGCACGTAAAGAACTAGAAACCGGTGTTCAATTTTTAATATTGAAATTTTTCCTTTTCAGCTCAATTCAATTAAAAAGCTGAAACTATTCAATTTTACCTGATGGTTTTTTTTCCAAAATCACAGGAAATGTCCCTCAATGTGTTCAATGACCGTGCGCTAAGCCTCTTAAGCACGATAATGGGTGTCATTGTTAATTTTTCACCCGCATTTTTTTTCAAAACCTTCGAGTTTCCGATTTAGACGAAGATTAGGGCTAATCAAAGCTTTGAGTATTTTTTGATTGAAGGGATGAGCCTTGAGATTAAGAGTACTCTAAAAAATACAAGCAGGAGATCTAAAAAAATTAGGAAGCATCTCCGAGTAATATAATGCTAGTACTGCCTTTCGCAACCGTAAACAATGTTAATTTGAATCAGGACGTACGCACAATCGTGTTCACAAATATTTATGAGTGAGTATTTTCTCAGCCAACATTAGAAACTACGAATGTGCATCGAGAACTATTCAAATGTTCACCAAATTACTGTTATTTGCTTTTTATCAATAGTCTTATTTCCCTGCACTAGTCTCATACATCTTTTAAACGAAATTAAGAAAGAGGAAGAACGTAATGGAATGGGAACTGAAGATAACAGACAGCGAAAAGAGTAGTAGTACCAGTGGTAGAATTTGTTTGTTTTACGGCATGATGGAAATTAATGATTAAGGAGTTTTAAGCTGACTGTAGGTCAACGTAAATATGGAAGGCCAACATAATAAAGAACAAAAATAATCATTGAATATGGTGAGTGACAGTTTATGCAGTTGTTAGTGAATGGCGCTTAGTAGTCACGCGTAGGAAAGATCGCGCGCCTTCAATTTGTCGGACATGCAGCACAGATAGCAGTCAAACACGAATAGTTGCACTCAGACGCCGTCGCCAACACAACGTATCGTCACGTTGTTGTGGCATGGTTTTGTTAGTATACTTGTCGTTAAACCATCCTCAATATGAAGTAATCATTTGATGTCCATCGAGTCAACAAAGTAAAATGTCTGGCTGTAACTAAATGTATAATGCGCGGAGAGTTTGCGATTGTCGAGTTATCTGCATAGTTTCTTAAAAGAAGAGAACCATGATCGCACCTGAAAACCTAGATGGTTCTTGTTTTTCTGTTCTTGGTAGATCAATGTATGATATTATTAAGAAGAAAAAGCCGTAGAGACTATTTGCCATTCTGGCGTTGTATATTTTGTCAACGTTGAGTATCGTTGAAAAAATTCGATAAGCAATTAAAATAGTAAGGCAAAGGTTCAAACCTTAAACAATTGTTGCCATCCTGAAAGTCATGTGATTACAACCCCATTTGATTCAATCTTGTCACAATAATCTTCTGGAGAGTTATTTCACGTCAAATATTGCAAACTTCCATGTAAAACATAAAACATGGACGTTTTCTTCTGAAGCCTGCAACGATGGATTTCTACAATACATTACCGATTCAAATAAAGGTGAGCTCAATTCACGTTTCAGTGAACCCCACAAAAAGGAAATAAGTCAGCCTTTTGATATGTAGAAATGTGTATAAATATTCTTTTACGAAACCACTTGTTTTAAAAGTATAAGGAATGATTCTACCTTAAAATATCAAGAGGACAGGGAATGTTCGCAGCGGAGGAGAGCTGAAAAGCAAGCATGAGTTGAGCAAATGATATGATATAGAATAAAGAGCAGCAGGGTACAACTCAGTGGATAAAAGGAGCACCCGTGGAAGCGAAGAAAAGGAGAATATAATTTTAATTCATTTGAAGCGTTCATTATTCGAAAATTACACAAAAAAGGCTCTATTCTTAAGAGAATACAATAACCATGAAATTCCTTTATTTCGGGTCACTGCTAATTTTTTAACTGAATCGGGTAATTCCTCTAACACTCTTCACGGAACAAAAATGTTTGTGCTTTGAGCCAATGTGCTACTTTTAGAGTTAAATTTGAAAGGATCGCGATGCATTTCAATAGCACTAAGGGCATGGATTCTGAGACGAAATTGTACATAGGTTGTTGCACCGCGGTAAAAAGTGCAAGAATTTGCCGACAGAGTAGGAAAGATCGCTAAATGGTAAAAATACCACCACTATTGATTACGATTACCGCTAAATTATGAGTTCATATTGAACGTGCACTTTTACTTTCGGGATCACAGCCATTAATTTTCCTTAGTGGGAAAAGCGTTTCAATGCCGAAAAACTAGTAACTTACGTCTTTATTCAATCAAGTAAAAATCATTTTCATGCATTTTAAAAGACTGACATTTTCTGATCGTGTGATGTTCTATCACAGCGCGTGAAAGGGGAGTGCGTTTGGAGGAGAACAGGGGTGTGGTAAATTAACGATTCCTCCGTAACGCTTTGACAAAATTCAAAAACAGAAAAAGAAAAAAAATGATCTCGTCTGAAAGCTGAAAGTGTGTCCGATTTGGTGCTGGTTTCATAATTTCCTCTTGCGTATAGGTAGTTCTTAAGTGCAACAAAATAAATAATTAAAACGCGGATAAAATAAGGCAAAAAGGTTGAAACTTCAAAAGGCATGAATAAGAAAATAGCGACCTAAAGGTCCAACTGTTGTATATTTTTGTATGTATAACTTAAAAAATTACCATCAAATCAAATACTGAGCTATTAGCCTATTTTCACTACAGTGATATGCGAACTCAGGTCATGCTTTAATCAAAACACAATCTGCTAGAGGACGCTTTGTTTTTATATATCACTGTGGTGAAAATCGGCTAATAACTCGGTATTTGATTTGATTTCGTTATAGGCAGCCAAAACTGAAAAATGTCCTTAAAATAAAAAAAATAAAAAAAACGTACAGCATGTGCCATTCTGTAAAGTTTCCACGCCTCTCCTTCACCTCCATTTGCAGCGACCAATCTAAATTAATTAAAATGGAAAGACGACCTGAGCCCACTTGTTATCATGAATAAATAAGGAGGGAATTAAACCATGGGTAAACAAGGCCAAAATAATAAAAACACAAAAAGGCAGGACGTTTCGAGTTGTTACCGGCTCATTTTCCACTGCAAAAGAAACATACCAATTGATGAAAAAATTATTAATTTAATTTTTGATCAAAATATAAGTAATTTTTAATTTAAATTATTAATTATTAATTTTATATTTAATTTTTGAATTTTTTTTATTAATTTGTTTGTGTTTCTTTTAGCTGAGAGTGAGCTGGTAACAGCTCGAGACGTCCCGCTTTTTCGTGTTTTTAATGTTTCAGCCTTGTTTACCCATGTTTTACTTCCCTCCGTATTTATACGATTATTCGGATAATATTTTTGTGCTTTATCTCATTATCATGCAATTACCCTTTTGTCCCTTTGCCCTTTTTAAGTTATAAAGTAGGTAAATCTACTTTAAAATCCACCCTCGTATTTCTATATGTTTCCTAAACTACGTGAAGGCGAAGGATCAAGAGGATTAGAGATCTCAGAATCTGAAGATTTGTGAAACTAGGCAACAGCGTTGCTTGAGGTGGGGCCGCTGCTCTCGTCTTGCTTGCCTCATTTGATACTGATTGGTTTTGTTCTTAGAGACCTTGGGAAAATAACGTGGAACGACAAAAACTTCCCGGGATTTATGACAGATTAACTTCGTCAAAAACTTGGAAGGGGCAGCGAGGAGGAATGCCGCCGTGATAGTGACGAGAGCAGTAAGTGTATGCTGAGATGAACCTTGAGACACATAAAAGCACGTGCTAGGCATGGTTCATAGAGAAATGGACTCACTGCTCTCTTCGCAATGGCAGTGCCCGGGTCGGATAACCCTTAAAACATCGAGCACGGATAATCAATCCAAACGTCCAGCTTCCGAGTTTCCAGAATTCAAGTTGGCAGGGCCGAGTTGCGCTCCAAGTACGCCGATACCGCTGTTGTGGACCTGAAACAACCTCCTCCATAGGAACAAAATATTTTCAAAATGCTCGTGATATTTCATACAAAGCCCGACGGAATACAAAAGTGAACCAAAATCACGGAAGCGCAAAAATTGCGAATGCAAGGAAAACAAGAGGAATCGTTTAATTCGCTTTGTTGACAATCTTCAAATTCCACAAATGTATGTTCTTTTAGAGGGCTACTTTGAAATCAGATGAGATTGATTGTGCCAGAAAAAAACAAAGAAAAAAGAACCCCTGTACCACCAAAAAAGAGATTGGCGCTTGCGTGATTTGGAAAGTAATCGGTTTAATAAAAAAATGGGTAAAAACTAAATTATTGTAAATTATTGAAAACCAAGAAGTCACGGCGTTCGAGCCGATGGGCTCATTTACAGCTACAAAAACAATCAATTTTAATAACACGTTGAGTGAAGACTTGATTCCAAATATTTTTCTCATACAAACACTGGAATTTCGATACAGATTAGTATTGAGAACATTCTCCAGATGTGTTTTAAGAAGATTTGAGCCCGAGTTTTCAAAATTTTGAAGGATAATAGTCTCAAAATTATTTTGCAATATTTTCATGAAATATCCGTGCTATAAAATTCTTAAAATTCGTTGAAAAAATCACAAAGTATCTTTTTAGGGGAAAAAAATCCTGAATTTGTTTCCTTATATCTTTTGATAATAGCGTTTATACAAAGCCCGATCACTCTCTGAAAGAGAACATAAACAAAAAAATTTCCTTCTCCTGTTTTGTAAGAATTTACCAAGCAGAATTCCTATAGTGACAGAAACTGCAAATTATGGTGGATCTTCAACACTTCAAAGAATGATTCGACCATCGATCGACCTAAGAATAATTTCTGGACTCTAGTACATTTTTTAAAAATGTCTCCAACCTCACATTACGCTAGATTCTGTCATGTACTTGCAAAGATTTGACTAAGCTTTGTGAAATAGCTTTAAAAGTACACGTCAGCCAAATGTCGAAAACCGAGAGACGAAACTATGTACCTTATTCTTTTGAGACATACTTCCAGAATTATGGTGGGATTCTACGTCAAATCTTGTGCAGAAATACTTAACGTGCTTTAGCACGACATGACATCCACGGATTTTTGGAGAGATTCCTTATAAACGCCAGAAATTAACACTGATTGATCGAGCATAAAATCTTTCTTCAAAATGACGTAGAGCCACCTCGATAAAGTGCTCTTGAATTCACGTTTTTAAAATTTAAAAGATATTTAAAAATTCGAAAGTTATCCCAACTCTCCCTTTCACGTGGAGAAAGTCCTGGCCCTAAATTAGTTAGTCGAGCAACTTTTCCTTCGGTATCTTCGAATAGGATCGCGCTTTTGTGTCACTCCGGGATTAAAAGAAAACTGTGAAGATCTAAATAAATTCTGACTGGAGCCAAAATTGATCCTTCCAAGTCGAATAATAATATTTAATAAAGTTCAAACACCTCGAAGCCGTTAATACTATTGAAATAAGCATTTCTTAGGATGAAATTAAAGTTAGGTTTAAGTTCTTTTTAATTATTCAAGATCTGGTGATTTGTTTCCCTTTTCGCGAATGAATTTGTTTAATACCTCTGAGGAGTTAAAGCGAGAGGACCCAGGCCCCGGGCAGGGACGAGAGATGAAATACGGCAGATATTATAAGATTACGAAAACCGCGGAAGCGAATGGAATCGTCTTGAAAGAATTTGCATTGAAAGCGGCGAGTAATAAATACACCGGAGAGAGGTTGTGAAAGGACTCGAGAGGATAAGCTTGGGTTGATTTGCATCGCCAACGCAAGGCAATTTGGACCCTATTTTTTTCGACCCTCCGCGCTACGATATCGATATCGATAACCCACGTATCCTCGATCAAATCCGACCAATGACACCTCCTCAACTGCGAAATATCGAATTTCGATCCATCGCATTTTCCAACTCGAGAGGCACCCCACCTGAAATCTCGGCTGGTAAATTAACGCCGTGGAAGAATTAGCCCACTTGAAACCCGGGCAGGTCATTAGGTTAGGATATTAACGTTTAGCGCCCTGTTCGCGAGAGCAAGATCTTGGGGAAAATGCTCCGACCGCCTCCTTGACTTTAACTGCGACTTTATAAAATTCTTTGGGTTTCACGTTGACTCGAGGATCAGGGCGGTGATAAATCTGCCGCGTCAAGGAGTTGATGGCTATCAAGAGCTTTGCTCATTTATCATTCTTAATACGCCTCTAAATGGCTCTAATAGTCTAAAATAAATACTCTCATTCTCGGGAGAGTCAAAAGGAAAATGTGAACCAACACTTGGACGCAACTAAACGTAAAATAACAGCAACGAACTTTCATGTTTGCGAGAATATTATGAGGGACTCAAAACTCAACTAGTCAGATTTTGACCGATGAGACCAATATTTTCGAAAAAACCATTTTTTCTTCGTTTGTAGCGATACGCCAAGTTTAAAAACTCGAGTAGAGCTCATTTATAAATAAAAATTTCTTATAATCCTTTTTTTAGATAGTGGACGCACATGTCCGATTCAACTCTGACTGATAAATAAATTAAATCGCTCTGACTGTTCACGTGCAAATTAGCTTCAATTCAGTTTCTCTTCTCAATTCATTCGCCACGGCTTGTGAAATTTCCCTATTTCAGTTACACACCAGGGGCTCTGGTGCGTACCTGAAATATGACAATTTCACACCAGAGGTGGCGATTAGTGCGGAGTCTTTAAAATACTTACTTTACAGAATGATGTTTTTAATCCGTGTCTGCGACTATGATGATGACACAGAGGGGATCGGAAGCTGAACAAGAGAAAGGCATCTCACACACTCCTCATACTGACATTTTAGCCGCACGCACGTTCGGCTTGACGGGAAACAACTTTGCCACCGTTCCGCCTTCCCGCAAGCGAGAGGCCCTACTTCCTACGTTATTGGGTTTCAATTGCACGAGTGTTTCGTACTCACAATTGCATCGTTAGCGAAACTTCAAAACGCTCTGTTCTTTTTCCCATGTGTCACAGCCCAGATTGAGCAACTGACGACTCAGAACTTTTGCAAGCACCGTTGCCATCGTAACGATTATTGGTGGCTGTACTTCCGTCATGTGACCACTCGCAAGAAAAGAGATCGGAAGAAGATTTGTTATCTCTTACACTTTTAATTTGAAATTTGTTTAATTTGGAAGGATTCGAGGAGGAGGGAACGTGGATGCGGGTTGCGAGGTGACGGACTGGAGTTCCTGGTCCAAATGCTCCGTGGATTGCGGAAAAGGGGTTCAGGAGCCCGATTTTGGAGCTTCAAAAACCCGGACGCGGCCAAAGAGTGCCTAACCTCGCAGAACCACCTGGACCTCGAACATACGACCGATTGCGACGGAGAGTCCGACTCCTGCCCGCAGAATGGGGTAAGAACTCCGAAAATATTTTTAAAATCATTTTTAAAGAATATAGGACATTTCGTCAACGATTTTTTGTCCGCGCAACTGTTTTTCCCAGTAATTTATGTCCACGCGTTTTTTCGGCACGGGAGTTTTGGTCCACGTGCCAGTTGAGACCCAAAGTTAATTGACCCACATGTAAATACAAACGACAATTGCTCACGACGTTTTTAGATGAAAATGTATAATGTCTTGGAAGAATGAGGGTTTGCTTGTTTTTTTGTTTTGTCTGTTAGGTCCAACGGAGAATAATATTTAGTTGAGAGTTTTGGTAAAAATAGGGGAGCGTCAATTCCATGAGATAAAATTCACTAAAATTCTCTATACCTCTTTGGTGTAACAGGACTTAATTATCTTTCAAGAAATTCCCACCTTGTTATACCTGAACCGGATAAACCTCTATATTTGCCTCAGCTAAAGGCTCTTAGATTTTTCCTGTGCACGATAAGTATCTTGATTTATTTTGCGAGGAAAGATCTGTACTTTTAAAGGATGCCTGTCATTCTTAATACGTTCAATTTCGTATAATACTGTGCAACACCTCTATTGTGAAATAGTTACTTCAGGCGCCGCCGCACGGCGAGCGGGCGGCCAGCGCAAAACGCGCATTGGCGCCTACAAACCTAAGTGGATACTTCCAGCATTGTGCAATGCGTGAAGGTTTGTAGGCGCCAGTGAGCCTCTCGCGCTGGCAGCACGCCGCTCCGCTCTGTTAGGCTTTATTATTTATACTCGCATAGTCAGCGTTCTTTAACTCATGATTTTGAAGTGTTCGCACACTCTGCATTGATTATTCTCATTTAAGTTGGAGGGGGAAAAAAAGTATCAATTTATCAAAGGAGAATAATAATATCATGTATGTTTCTTAAATATTGGTGGTTCTGTGTCAAATTTAATGATTTCCAAAGCACTTTAATTTTTTCTTTTACATTCTGTGCTTTTATTGTGCTGCAGCGAGGTGTGCGCGCAACTAAACGCTCAAAATATGACGTATTTGACTCTGAAAGATCGATGTACAAATGGGTTAAAACTAAAGATTGCGTGTTTCTTGGTTTTTTTCCTCTTTTGTATTTCTATTTGTATTCTATTATTCTATATAATATTTTCTTATATTTCTTATATTCTATTTGTATTTCTATTTGTATTCTTTATTTCTATTTTTGTATTTTTTTATCTTTTTCATTTTTGTTGTTTCTGTCGGCACAACTGCGGCTCATTGAGATTCATGTCGCTTGGAAAAGGTTTTACAAATATTTGTCACGTTTTAAAAATATAAATGTTTTCAAAATGAAGTAACAAAAGGTATATCGACGGTGAAACTACCAAACCACGTATCTCGGTTTGCGACGTCGCAGACTTCCTGTCATACTTTATTTTTTAAATGAAAAACTACTTAACATCCAGTCTTGAAAATTTCTGTGATTTTTCCTCTTTGTGCGGAGAAAATTCCGTGAAAATTTCAAGGAATGATATTGATTTGGTCTACTTCAAAAAAATAAAATGTGAGCGTAGATTTTTAAACACCGCAAACGAGATACGTGGTTTGGTAGTTTCACCGTCGATATTGTACATCGAATATTTTAAGGATAGAAATAAAACCAAATATTCACCAATGAGAATTTAAAAAGATGATTCAAAAGGAGAAAGTAATAAAATTTCATTTTGAAAATGAGCAACCATAACAACACCTCCTCCTCTCTCAATTTCTCATTTCGATATTGTCAATATAATTATACATCAGGCCGGATATTGAAATTTTGGGTTTGTTGACCGGAGAATACGAGGCTAATTGTGAAAGGGAATGGAGTCTGCAATCGGCTTTGTCGGTCTACCTCTTTATCGCGCCATCTGGCTATGTCGAGTAGAATTGAAGACAGGCTATCGACAATTCAAGAAAAGTTTTACGATGCTGATCTTTGATTCCATCCGCAAGTGACACGGGCACTATAAAAAAAACGATTGATAAAACCGACTAAAAACACCATTTTCCCCTATCTTGGCCTCGTTTTGTCCAGTCAAAAACCGTCAAATTTTCAAAATCGGCTGAAGAGCGATTTCCGTCATTTTGGCTTAAATGTAAGAGTCGAGTTTTCGATGGGACGTTTATCTACATTATAATGCAGAAAAATACGTAATCTTCTGTTAGCAATAGTGTCAGTAGCACATCCATTCTGAATATTTCTCCTCTGCATTCCATCTTCCCCAGAGGCGGATCCGGCAATTTGGCAAAACTGGATTTTCTCCATTTAAACCTATGCTAAATAATCGATTCTTGTCGGAGCACCTGGACCCTCCAAGAATCGATACATTCCATAGGTTCAAATGAAGGAAAGGCAATGTTGCCAGTTTGCTGGATCCGCCGGAGATCATATCTGATTTATTCTTTTCAGGTATATTATATACTTCAATGCAAAGAATAAATTCATAATTCAACCAAAAATGATTATTTATTAAAATTTACGTACAACAAGTATAAATATCGTAAAAAATAACAAGGAACAGTGGAAGCTTGTCCAGAGGTGCGCTGCATGTCATTTTATAAATTATTAGAGACCGCAGATAACCCAGTGTCTTGGTTCGAGAAGTTTGCGGACTTTCCCGTCATATTTTTCAACTGGAAATATAATTCAAATAATTCGCACGAGATTTTTCAAATATTTTCGTTGCCTTTGGTAAATAATTTGTGAAAATGTAAATCAATCAAATGGACTCGTTTCTATTTGAAATAAATAAATAAATAAATCTCAGCAAAAATTTGGAAACATCGACATCAAAGTATGTGATTTTCGAATCAAGATATGTGATTTTCGAATCAAGGTATGTGATTTTCGATAATTTCTACAAGTGTTATGATGAAAAAAAAATATTGATTTATATAGATTTTTGTAGCGTAGTTCTCATAGCTGCAATGGGTGTTGTCACATTACCTGTAGAATATGCTGTAGAACTAGTTGCTGGAAGATTCGGAGAGTTCATTCACATTATGATATTTCCCGGCTGGACTACAGATGAATGTGTCTAAGCTCGTACAGCAAGCTTAAATTTCACTTACCTACGCCTTTTTATTTCAAGTCTGAATTTTAATTCATGGCGAAGTACATATTTTAACTTCAATGGAGAGCTGGACAGAACCAACGGATGCAGAGGCACGAAAGTGAAGGAGAGTCGGACTTCAAGACTCGTTTGTCTCGATGTAGTCTCGGAAAATACGACAAAAACATTATCTTTTCGAAGTTACTCAGATTCAAGTTATTCGTGAAATTGTACTGTTATTTTGCCTGTTCAAAATTTGAAATCACGTCATGTTCATAAAAATGAAAAAATAATTGTAAATCACAAGACAAGTTATAAAAAGAAAATTGAAGCAGATATTTGAGAGGACTCAAACAAACTTAAAAAAACGTATGTCTTTGTTAAGCAAACATAGAGATGTGGGGAAATAATCGAAGCTGAGATCAGTTGGTCTTCTTTTCATCAATGAGCTGATAGATCTCTTCATCCATGAATTTTTCAAACCTTTCTAGCCTTACAATCATCCAGTGAAATATACCAAGGACGACGAAGGAGGACACCAGTGGAATGGCCGATGCCTTGATCCAGTTTTTGACGCTGCAGCGTGCAAAAAATTTAAAGCAAGGTTTAAGTTGTTCGTTCATTTCACTAGCTCAAAAAGATACAAAACCGTTGATTATGCTCTTTTCTTATTTTTATTTCAATGTTTAATAATAAATAATCAAATCACAACCTTATTGCAAATGACATTGCATATTTCGATATCGCAAGAGGATAAAGTTGAAGGTGCTGCGGCGCTCTTGCAGCAACGTCTGGATAGAAATATTCGTGTTCGAGGGATGTCAATTTTGCGTACACGAGAAATTGCAGGCGCTAAGGCTTCCCTAATGCCAACACTCATATACAACGTTTGTGCGTTTTTAATGCGTAAGAAATTGCAGGCGCTCTGGTTTTTCTGATTCCAACGCTTTGATGCAACTATTCGTGTTTGAAGGATGACCGTGTTGCATGCTCAAGAAATTACAGGCGTTTTGGCTTGCTTTCAGCTTAATGACAACGCCTGGCTACAAATGTGCGTGCTTGAGGAAAATCTGGGCTACATGTGCTGTGTTCCGGGTTAACCTTTACAAATAGTGGAATTTGAGCGAACCGCTTTGGGACAACATCGACGCAACGTTGCCGTATGGTGCGATTTGCGAAAACGTTACTGTCAATACTGCTGTGCTAAAGAAGAACGCCGAATGAACATTTGAAAGTTGCCAAATTTCCTTGCTTAAAATGTTTATTTTCGAGGAAAGTTACGAATATTTTTCTTTGAAATTTCTAGGAGCTTCAGGTGAAACTGAAAACAAAATATATGAAACATTGGAGGGAAAATATTCATAAGTCTACCAGGAAATTCGTGTTTTATCAAAGGAAATTTGGCAACGCCACAAGGCTCATACGACGTTTTTCCATAGCACGGCAGAATAACTGTGCGGAAATGTTATGAATCCTCTACGTCCTTCAGTTTTATCTGTTTTACAATGCTTAATCATGAAAATCTGTGTCCACCATTATGTTCAACAGTTTCAGCCCAGTTAGAGCATGATTTGAAAAAAAGCTCCAAGTCTGGGAGTGCTTTACTTTTCTTCAAATTAAACGCTGCGCCTGAGAAAATAATGAAAAATTTGGAACAGAGTCAGAAGTTTTTTTATGTACGGTATAAGAAAAGAGTATAGCTGAATATTTTCGGTCGAAAAATTTTGAAACATTAAAAATCATTTACTTACGTGTAAGGGTTCTCTCCTGGATTAATCACCGAAACCGGCGTGTCAAAGGGAAGTTCTCCGCATTTTACAATTTTTATCGGTACTTTCGGTTGCCCTCTGTCATTTGCCTCGGTTTTTTCGATTAAATGCACAGTCTTTAGTCCATAAATAACCTTGCAAAAAAATTTCAAAATATAATGAATTTTTATTTGAAAAATAAGTCATTGAGCGTAAAGAAAAAAAACATCCAAGATTAGATGTGGTGGGTGGTTTATATTCCCTAAAATGTAAACCAAAGTACAAACAAGACTACAACCTCCATTTTGACACATTGTTTCTAAAATTGTCATCCCCACACTTTTAGGAAAAGACGTAGTTAATGGCAACGATACTTGCAGTCGTCGTCAAGATCCGTTGATCTTTCTGTTTCTCAAGATGCATGACCCAAATTCTAATTTGTGACAAATTATAGCTCTCAAATAAATTGCGTTCACATTTTAAAACAGTTGATAAAATAAAAACGTTTACCTTTCCAAAACCAACATAATCACCATCAAGCCACGAGGTAGCAGTGCACGTCACGAAAAATTGGCATCCGTTAGTATTCGGACCTAATTTATACAAAGAGAAATAATATATTAATTATAAGCTTTGTTAAAATATTGAGATGGGTCTACTTGCTTCAGTTCAGCGTTTGTGACCACTTTCAGTCAGTCGATAAACTTGTAAATTTAAAGTTAAAAATTATTACATAGAATGCATACTCGTATACTTCTATCATACCGTGATTAAGCAGACATCATTACAAAATTTTATGGAGAAATAATTCAAAATACTGATGACAATGAAATGAATGTTGAAAAAAGCGTGACACAATTTGTGACGTTTTCTTAAAACTTATTCAGTTCTCTTCGTTATTTCAGAAATTTCATCATTAAATTTTTTTGAGTGATACATGAAATACTTCGGAGTGATTCATGACTGAGCAATTTAATATAATTAAAGTACATATGTGTGGTTTGGAGATCAATGCGTGACTACTTAGAGTCAACCATCATAAACCAATTTCTGAGAAATGAAGGTTTATGACCTTATGAGTCACATGTGGCACTGAGTGATTAAGTAGGTATCTTATTCAAAGTTTTAATTTTTATATATTTTTGACAGAAAATGAACGACCCAGTAAGTCTTGCACAATTTAAACATACATGTTTTTTAATTTATCACTGATTTTTGTAAAACACAGTAAAACTTGATTTTACGGACTTGCATGTGAGAAATTAAGCAAATGTAAGCCAGACTAGACAGATATTCCCCCCAAAACTGCAAAAAACATTGTAATTTTTCTTCTGCTCTTCAAAATTCAGTATAAAACGGAAAATGTATGGTAATGTTGCCTCTGTTCTTTAAAATTCAGTTTAAAATGTAAAATCGTATAAACGAGAGGAAAAGCCGTACTTCCTGTACATTTAGGCCATGCCGATCTGCAGTACAGGATGCTGTTCAATCTGAATGTCGACTTGCAACTGTTCTTGTAAAAAACCGAGCACACCTTACCAAACTCCATCCGGGCCGGTCCGGACCTTCTTCAAAACAAAATTTATCCGTAACATTTGTAAACGCACTGAAAATTTTCAGTGAACGTAGTTTGTGGCTTAATCCTGTGCTGGATCATTAAAATTAATTGTTAATCTTCCAATCGGACATTTTTACATTTATTGACTTATTGATCCCATATTATGCTCCTAAACGGTGTGGGTCGTTAAGGCAAGAGAGTAAGTAAACGATCTTTCGTTCCGTTTCGCGTTGGCAGTATCAGAAAATGGGAACGCGTTAGAAGAGAGCTATTGGAATTGAGATGAAAGCTTCATTATTGAATACTGCAAATCGAGAAATATTTTAAGCTCGAGAGGAACTGGGAAGCGCAGTTTTTTATAGATATCTCGCTGTTGCTCGCTTCTGAATGGTTCCTTAAAGGGTTGAATTCATCGGTCATCGGTGGTCTCTGATCGAAACCCTACACGAGGAGGAAAAATTAAAACAACTTTTTAGACGGTAGATGTTCGAACAGAAAACGAGAACAGCATTAGAACGATTGCAAATTGGGTTTAAAGTTGACTCTGACCCGACATTTGTACGGGAAGTAATAACGAATGTTTCTAACACGTTTACAAACTCTTTAAAATCTTAATTATAGGACCCTGAATTTCATCACTTCAAGAAACTTAAAAAAAGGAAATAATTACCATGATTTGCCATTGCCAAAAATCCCGGGGCCCAAAATTTGACCTCATGAGTCTCATCCTCGAACGTTCTGCCGTAAATGCTCGTCTCACCAGAACCGTCATTATTAATGATGTCTCCACCTGGAAGAATAATAATTGGATGACGTTAACTAGGATCAGCTGCGAGGCATCGGGCGTGACCCAATTTATTTCTTTGTTTTTTTTTTGCATTTTTTGCAGAAATACAAAGCAAAATTTGTCTTTGAACTTTTGTGTACATCCTTAATACTAAATGGAAAATTATCGTACAGTTTCAAGGCGTTATGGTGCTTTACTCTTCTTGAAAAGAAATAGCACGTGGGAGGAAATTAGACTAAGTGAAATGTACTTGGGCTGATTCTAGTTATATTCTTCCAACTTGACGTATTTATGTTAAAAGGGACTATTTGCATAGAGTTCGCTCGCAACATAGTTCCTTTTAGCATAAATTTGTCCAATTATACACGGTTTTAGTTCGTTTCCAAAAGTATCCGATTCAAATTTCTTGGATTTTTTACTTTATTGAGTTGGAGAGAGAGGACTAATACTGATGTAAACTAAAGTGCTTTTCTGTTTATGAGTATTTTAGAAACTTCCAATATGTTTCATGTTTGCTAGGCAAAATTTTGATGATTTAATATTGCCTACGGTGGTTCAATGTCCATCCTGTATCAAGCATTGGTTTCAGATTCCAATCCAAATGGTTGGGAAATTACGAGCTGTTGATTGTAAGATTTTACCTTGTATCAAGAAGTTGTGTATGACCCGATGAATATTTGTACCAGCGTATGTTTTGCCCTTAATACCGACCGTTGCAATCGTTCTGAAGTTCTCCACCGTTTTCGGGGCTATCTCGCCGAACAGTCCGAATATGATGCGCCCTAAATCTTTGTCCCCTTGCTTGAAGTCCATAAAAACTTTGTGAGTAATGTTGAACATCGGCATCGGTGGCGCTGTGGCAGTGTCATCGTCATCATCGAGGAATGCCTTTTGAGACATGGAATAACAAGTATAACAGATAAGAATAAGAAATAAGAAGCAATCGAAATAGAATCCAAAATAGTAACTTGTTAACCCTCACTGCTGCAAGCGAGGTGGAGGTAAGATTCTTGCTTGATCATTAATGTCCTAAATAAGTTGAATGTCAAAATCTCAGTCTTCTAGGAATCAACTAGTTTGTTTTCCCTCGTGTAAAGTCATGAAACTGACGACACGTTCTAAATTATTTCGCGGTCGATAAGACTTTCGTTTTGTGTTACGTATACTCGTATTCTTATAACAGAGGGTAAATATATTTTTATAACATTCCCTCGACTTTAAAAAGGTCTAAAAGTGGAGAAGAAAGTGTTTTTCTTAAGCACCTAAAAACTATCATACGTAGAAAGACTTATTATTCTCTAAATGATTTTCATAATGGTTCATAACATAAATGGTTAAATTTCAAGGGGCTTGTTGACATGCATGTTGAGCTTTAATACGTGTTATGTGTGTGTGCAAAATGTGAATGAAATGAACATTCATTGGTGAATCAGTGATCTGAAACTACTAGTATTCTACTCTGAAGCATGACGGGTTATTTGACATCGAGACTTTTTGCCATGAATCCCAACTAATTATACATTTACGGACCTGAATAAATGCTCGTCTCAAAGAATGTTAAGGGAAATATAATAACAGGAGATGTTAATTGGACTACTTGAACGGTTTGGATGGTCATTATAAAATCAACAAGAACTTACAAGGCTTCCGAAAAACGTGATGCAAAACGTTATTAAAAATAATTTGTATGATAGAATCATCACTTCCAAGCACTTCAAAAAACTGAAATAAAAACACACTTCCCCGCGGAGAATTTGAACGTAGTGCTCCTATTTGTGATAGAAGTGTAATCATTGTTCGTCGTTACATAACCGGAACTATTGATGTATGGTTTCCTGCTCCACTGCCCGCTGGAGTCGTGGAGGCTTAATTAGATTAAGGGTTGAGCTCGAATATAGTCCGACCACTGACACCTGTATGTGTGACGACCTGTAATGTAGATGAATATCGAGTGCGGAAGAGTAAACAGAATAGAAAGGGAAACAACGTAAACAAAAGGAATCTAGCGCTCCTTTGCATCTATAATTATCACAAAATATAACAGAGTGAAAGAGAGAGGCACTTGAGCACAATGAATTTGAGATGCACGTTATCGATAGATACTGTACCTGGCAGAACACGCGATTCCATCGCAAAGTTTAAAATTTCCCGATTATTTATTTTTTCATTTTATTTTTTTAAGTAAACCTGCCAACATGTCTCCTTTCAATTGGACTACATGTTGGAATTGGACGTATTTCTGCCAAACGGAACTAGGTGCATTATGACGTGAGTCCTGTTGTGCATATACTCTAATGGGTCTCAGGGCTCATGTTTTAATGCATGTAGTTCCGTTTGGCAGAAATACGTCCAATTAAAGAATAATATTTATGGCTCACTTAAAATACGACGCATATGCTCGTGCTTTCCCTGAAAATACGTGTTTTTTGTGATCAAGCCGAAAATAGTAGTTCCTAATTGCGAAATGTAGTTCACCTTTCTATGAATATTTTTGAAGGAGAGAGGAAAATTGAAATAAACTTTTAAGAGACTTTATTGTTACTTAAATTTTTTTTTTAAATTAAGAAAGCATGGACAGAAATTTACGACGCTGCAGTTAATTGGCATTTTTTTTTTACTTTAGTCATCGAGATTTTAGGAAGGAATGGGTCTCCGGGTAGTTGACAAATGAAATACCAAAAACGTTCAGTAAAGCTGCTAATTTCAGATGATGAGACGTTCGTCTAACAATAATTTCGCATCTGAGGTCAAATTTTCAGTCAAATTTTCAGTCAAAAGTACCCCTATTTCTATATCGACTAATAAATTTCCCGCATAATGGGACCAATATGAACGCATGAAAACTTAAGGCTATTGAGAACAGAATTAATTTAATCAAAAGAAACTGAGGATTTGGATTTGCACAATTCTTGTGGTTTCTAATAATTTAATTAATTTGCATATGGTTCATTGTGGCATCAATACGCACCTATATAGAAATGTCGCAGCATACGGAAGACGTATTTGTATGTATTCAAAGCGATGCGAGAGGAAACTAATATGAACATTCCATTGAAACGATCGTCCAGAATGGTACGTCCTGGCTGTGCCTATAAAACGGAAATTGAGTTCTGGTGCAGATGAGTCATCGTCTTCACTCGTAATTTTATGCAACAACTGCGCTAAAAATTCAGTAAAAATGAGTATTCTGCTTGGAAATGTAATCCTCAGTTCTCATGGTCTAAGAGGTGGCCTGTAAAAAGGGGTAGCCCTCATCGAAGCGAGCCCTCCCTCCGGTTTAGATGAGCTTTAAAAAAAGCATAAAGATGCGCGTGCTCCCTCTCTGTCCCCATCTCCCCCGTAGGTTCTTTTTTTCTCGTCCATTGTTGTCAAATTTGGTGGTCAAATGAAACCTCATTATTTTCTCAATCGAGGTGCCCACAGAAAAAAATAGAGGGCGATTGCGATTGCGATCTAAGAATTCGTACCCATCGACATCACTACGCACAGTCGCACATGAGAAAATCAGCTAATGTGTTCTACCATAGGTAAGAACGTCGTATGAACCTTCAGGCGTTGCCAAATTTCCTTTGATAAAACACGAATTTCCTAGTAAACGTATGAATATTTCCCTTACAATTTTTCAGATAATTTTGTCAGCAATTTCACTTAAAATCCCTGAAAATGTCAAGGAAAAATATTCATATCTTTACTCAAAAAGAAACATTTTATTGAAGGAAATTTTGGCAACTCTCGAATGCTCACATGACGTTCCTCCTTAGCACGGCAGTGTTGTACCTAGTCACTTTTTTCGACTATACTGATAAAAATTCAGTTTTAAGCAATTTTTTCGATACAGTTTTTTTCGAGGGATTCAACCCTTCAGAGATATTTGCGCATAATCTGTACATAGTGACGCCACCATTGAAGCCTCCAACGGGCTGATGATTGGAATTGATAGGCAAAGTAATAGACAAAGAAAACGAACGGAATGGAGTAAGCCCCTTGATAGGAGGTAGTTGGAATTGACAAAAATGAGTTAAGTAAAATACTTACTAACGGCAACCCACGAGAGGCACTATATTAGTCCATCATTTCCCCCTCAGTCTATAACCATTAAGATCGCTCTATTTTTCCTTTGTCTTATGTGTCTATTGCTTTGTCTATCAATTGCAATAATCGGTCCGGGGTCAGCGCAAGGAGAGGAGCCTTGAAGCTCGGCAACAGCGTTAACAACTCCTCATCAATAAACGGTGACATTTGTAAAGGAGACTCAACACTCAACGAGTCAGGGTGGCACCCACCCCCGCAGGCGGGGCCGTAAAACTTTTAACACCCCGCGCTCCTTCGCGAGGTCCGTCTTGAGAGGGGCCGGCAGCTTGCAGGAGAAATAAACGCCGCTTTTTCCGCGACCTCAAGCTGTGCTGCACTCAATAATGCGCGGCTTCGATTCGAGAGGGAGAGGAGTATTTTATGCGCCAACTTGTAATTGTTGTGTTACGGTCGGTGATAATTGGGAAAATCTGGGGAGCGGACCCGACCCTCTTGTGAGCTCGTGAAAATCCTCCGATTTTATTGCGTTTTCACGGGTTGTGTGGCGTCTCTTTCACGACGCACCGTCTAGACGCCGCTTTCCACCGAGGATTGCGTCGCCGAAACTGACGCTTTTTTCCGGAACCCTCCACGCCGTGGTGTTTACAGCGAGCTGATTATTGAAATTGATAGAAAAGCGATAGACAAAGAGGAAATAAAGCGATTTTTTGGTTGAGACGGGTGAATATTGTAAACTAAGAGGGATAACAATGGACTTGCCATAGAATCCCTCAGTTGCCGTCAGTTAGTCTATTACTTACCTCCTTGGTCCATTGCAACCACTCGCATCCACCAATAGAATCGCTTCATTTTATCTTTATCTACTTGTCCATCAATTTCAAGGATCAGCCCGCTGGTGTGAACATGACTGATTTCCCAAACTCCTCGCTTAATTATGCCGACCACGATTACGGTGCCAGAAGCCAGAATAGCGATTTTTTAAGCGGTGAACTATTAAAATCATCGGAGTGAAGTAGCATTTATGCTCACACAGTCATTTTCCCCACCACAACAAAAAAAAAAAATACGACTACAATGAAACAAACACAATATGGAAATATGTATAGAGCACGAGAGTGCGCGCGTCGATGACGGCGCAGAGATACGACTATTCGTGCTTGATGGATGTCCGTGTTGCGTCTGCGAAATTGAAGGCGCGATGGCGCACGGCGTGAATTCGTCATGATCCGCTCTATGCTGTCAATGAGGTGTCGCGTCGCTCAGACTCGGGGGGAAATTTGAAAAAACGAGACCATATTGAGTCTTTTAGATCTTCGGCTGGGCTGAAACTCGATTGTCTTTCTTTCCTTCCAATTTCATGACCGATTCTTTTTCTGGGATATATTCGGAGACCTACATCTAAAGCTCCTACTTATCGGCTCCATAAAACCCACGGGTCACGTATTATTAGCAAGCTTAGGATCAATTTAACCCGACTTGGGCATCTAACGGTTCAAAAACTGTTTATGGATGCACTTGTCTGCGAATGATAATCAACGATTGATACATCGTCTCTCGTGAAAGCTTAAAAGGTCAGATCCTCCATCATATTAATTCTACATTCAATTACTCATAGGATCGTTTTGTGGCAGAGAAAAAGGCTATTTGGAGTACATTTTGCAATTTGGAACTATAAATTCCGGTCCGGTTAAAAACAACGCATGTGCCATTAGTTTTCCTATGCACATACGTCTTTTTTCAGGTGAGACAGAATTTATAGCTCCAAGTTGCAAAATGCAGTTCATTTAATGTATCCGAAAGTATTTGTCGTCCGCATAATATCAAATCCTACTGATTCCAAATCATTGGAGTTTTCGTTTGATTTTGCACAGACAGTATATACCTAGACAGTAGAAGTTCTTCCGAATGAAAACTTTCTGCAAGAAGATGTATTTCTATTTGTTGGATATATTAGGTTTTAAAATTAATTGATTCGTTACGTTGGTGACATATGTGGCGTGAAAGCACGAACTTTTGCTGAGATAATTGAATTCTTCAGCCGGCCTCCGGAGGGAGGCTCATTCAGCCCAAATTCTTCTTAAAGTCTTCCCAAATCTTCTCCTCGCCCGACAACACAAACGAGGTGCAACACTTAAGGCAAGCAGCTCCCCTACACGAGTCTAAGTTCATGTTATAATGAATACCACAAACGGGCAGAGGAGCGCTCAACTTTATGGATCAAATCTCAACGAAAATAACCTCGAAAAATTCCATTGTCCGCGTCAAACTTTCGCAGCCGGGTAAAGTTTTCGCGGAAAGCGCTCGCAAGAAGAATGGGGTGAAGGTCGTAAATCTGATTGAAGCCCGCGGGCGAGTCCACTTTACCACCGTCCTACGAGAAACAGACGCAAGTACCTCTCCGGCTGTGAGCCTCGAAGAGCATAAAGATACGTATCAACCGAGGATCACGTTGTGAGGCACTTGGGGTTGCGTCCCGCGGCTTATCGAAGCGGCAGATTCCTCCAGCTTCCCAAACAATTAACCGCTCCGTGGTTATCCGACAACGTGTTCCTGAGACGTCGGAGCGGTGGAGGAAGGGGGGGGGGACAAATTGAATGGAAAAATTATTCATGGGTCCTCGAGAGCCCCGGATAGTGATCAGACCGATATTGGGAGTCTACAAAAGAATGCGCGCTTACGAGGTAAGACAGCAAAAGTTTCCGTCCTTCCTTTTCTCCGCGCTACCCCTTTCTTCCCCCGGCATGCAAACATTTCCGTATGACAGCGCAAGCCAATTTCTGGATC